TGCATGCAAAGCAGATGCTGTTCCATTGAGCTAAGGGCCTCCCCTATAAGAGCGTATGAGGTTTTTTCTTATTAAGCGCCAAGTAGGCATATACAGAGGGGACATGGGTGGCGCTGTGGGTTAAACCACAGAGCCTAGGACTTGCCGATCAGAAGGTCGGCAGTTCGAATCCCCGTGACGGGGTGAGCTCCCGTTGCTCAGTCCCTGCTCCTGCCAACCTAGCAGTTCGAAAGCACATCCAAGTGCAAGTAGATAAATAGGTACCACTCCAGCGGGAAGGTAAACGGCGTTTCCGTACGCTGCTCTGGTTCGCCAGAAGCAGCTTAGTCATGCTGGCCACATGACCCGGAAGCTGTACGCCGGCTCCCTCGGCCAATAAAGCGAGATGAGCACCGCAACCGCCACAACTGGACCTAATGGTCAGGGGTCCCTTTACCTTTAGGCGTATACAGAGTTTTTATACGTAGACTGTATCAGCAAAGTTTTCTTGGCATAAACTCTCCCTTTGCATAACTTGCAGTTAAACCTCAGTAAAGAAGAAGAAAAGAAAAGAAGTAATGAAAGGAAATAAAGGAAGGGAGAAAGGGGAGAAAATAGTACATCTGTGTAAGCTTCCTTTTCTGCTGTTTTGTTTAATGGAAAGAGTGAATTGCATAAAAATTAAAATTTGCAGCCAGGCAAAATGAAAGATTAAATGGTTACATAGGCTTAGTCTTGTTAAGTTTATGCGCGTGCGCGCACACACGAACACACACACATATATATAAACCCAGTCAGCCAATTGTGACCTTGATTTCCCCCCTCGTTCTTTCCCAAGAAGGATTTCCAGCCCTCAAGCCTGACCTCATCTCCCGGCTAGAGCAAGGGGAAGACATGTGGGTGCCTGATTCTCAGGGGATGGATGAAACCGTGATCTCCAACACACACACAGGTAAGGGGCTTGGGATAAGTTGGTTATTCCGCCCCCCGACCCTCAACAATTAGCAGTTGCCTGAAACTGTTTCATTTCCTCTCCTCCCCCTCCAACTGCCTGAGAGTGTGACCACATCTACTGCGATTAGGAATGGGAGGACACAGCAATTTTGCTTCTCTTCTCATTTTTCTGACCTTCAATTTCGTTCTCCACATTCCTGCAGCAAATCTGCCAATTTTGTTTCTTTAAAAAAAAATCCTCTTGGAAATTATTTCTTCTAATAAGACACAAATTTGCCCGCCGTTTTGACCAACGTACCCATTTTTGCAAGCCACTGTGTTGCATTTTGGCATGCTATTTTCGCAAACGTATTGATTATTATGCCCACGTTTACCTCATATATTCTTTTTCTAAACGTCGGTGGGAGAACTACATCATGAAATTTGGACAAGTGTGCATTTCAAAGGGTGGCTGCATCTGTGTCCTCATACTGTCTCAGGAAGCATAAATTTGGCTTTAAATGGGAACGGAATGGGATTTCTGCCCCGTCCCTAAAAGGGATTCTAGGCCTCTGTGGCGCATTTGTGGGGTGCCCCATGGAACACAAGTGGGAAGACCCTCTAGCGAAGGGCCATATTCCCTTGTGGCAGCCTTCTGGGGGCCTCGTGCCAGTGGAGGGTGTGGCCAGGGACAAAGTGGGTGGAGCCAAAGTTAAAAGTGGGCGGGCCAACAGACGTCCATCTACGTTCCATACAAGACATCTTTCCGTCCTCTATTCAGGCGAGCAAAAGGCATTACAGTGGAGCGACGTCATAAGCACATTTAACGCACACGAATTCAACTCCATGTACCTGTCGAAACAAGGTGTGGGCGACTGTCAGAGCCAAGTGTGGGCAGTTCCACCTAGTGAGCCGTCTTGGGGTGAGCACGAGTGCGATTTCCTGGCTGAGCACGCCGTCCTTCAAGGACAGTATTCATCATATCCCATGGCCCCTAAACGCAAGCTAGCTGCCTGCAGGTCACCAGGAGGGCAGCGCAAGAAGCAGCGATCTGTTCCGACGCTGGAGGAGAAAGTGGCCGTGTTGGATTTATTGAGGACCGGCATGTCCGTCTCCAAAGTGGCTCGCGTATACGGCCGCAATGAATCCAGCATCCGTGCCATTAAAGTTCGAGAGAGAGAAATCCGTCAAGCCGTGGCCTCCGGTGCTCCCATCACGGCTAAGGTGACAAGCCAAGTTCGCGATCAGACTTTGGTGAAGGCAGAAAAGGCCTTGTACCTGTGGCTGGAAGACATGAACGGCCAAGGCCTTCCGGTGGACGGCAACATGATGCGAGAGAAAGCTCTTGACCTGTACACGCTCTTCAAGCCTCTTACCGATGAAGGGCGGCCTTGTGACGAGAAGGAGTTCAAAGCCAGCCAAGGTTGGCTCAACAGCTTCAGGAACCGCTTCAACCTGAAAAACGGGCACAGCCCTGGCGAGGCTGCACCCACCGATAAACAAGCAGCGAAACCCTACGCCAAACAGTTAAAGAAACTGATAGAAGAGAAGGGATATCTCCCGGAACAAGTTTTCAACGCTGGCGAGACGGGGCTCTTCTGGAAGAAAATGCCCAGCCGCACGTACATTTCGAAAGCAGAAAGACAGGCGGCCCAAGACCGTGTGATGTTGTTGTTTTGTTGCAACGCGGCCGGGCATTTAATAAAGCCCGGCCTGCTCTGTGGGTCTGCAAATCCTCGTGCCCTCAAAGGCAAGGACGAACACCTCCTGCCTGTGTTCTGGCAATCGAGCAAAAAGGCTTGGGTGACGGCAGCAATATTCCTGGATTGGTTCCACCGATGCTTCGTTCCGGAGGTCAAGCGGTACCTCGAAGAGAAAGGAATCAATTTTAAGGTGTTGCTGATTGTCGACGATGCTCCTGGCCACCCCGAGGGAGTCCGGTTTGCGCATAGCGACGTCGAAGTTGTCTTTCTGCCCCAAAGCGCCACCTCCGCCATCCAGCCTCTCGACCAAGGTGTAGTTCGCTGCTTCAAGGCCAAGTACACGAGTCTTTTGTTCTCGCGGATCTGCAACGCTCTGGATGCCGATCCCAGCCTCAACGCGGCCGAGCGCTGGAAGTCCTTCAACATCGCTGATTGCATCACTTATGTCAAACAAGCCATGGATGCGATCGAGCCGGAAACGGTCAACGCGTGTTGGCGAAACCTGTGGAAGAAATGTGTGAATGATTTCAGGGGTTTCCCAACCATTCACCACGAAGTGGAACACATCGTTCGGGTGGCCAGGCAATTGGGCGGCGATGGCTTCAGCGACATCCTTGAAGAAGAAATAGAAGAATTAATCGAGGGCCATAGAGGAACGTCGGCTAGCGAAGAGCCCGAGGATCTGATAAAATCGGAAGAGGAAGATGACGAGCAGGAAGAGCCGGCAAGTTGGAACCTTCCCAAGTTTGCCGAGGTGTTTCAAGCGGCAAAGCACTTGAACGATTTGATTTCAGAATACGATCCCTCCATGGAGCAGAGCCTCAGAGTCACACGTGGCATCGGCGAAGCTTTGAGGCCGTACCGAGAAATGTTTGAGCAGCTGAAGAGGCAGCAGCGGCAGTTGCCGGTCGCCATGTTGTCCTCAAAAAAACAACCGGCAGCGGAGGAGCCCTCGCAACCGACTCCTCGAGCGAACACAGAGCCAGCCGCCTTGTGTGTGACACACTCTCCATCACGCAAGCCTGGACCGTTTTCTGCCGGATCGGCATCAGGCCCTTGTGACCCCTCAGCAGTGATGTCAGGGGAACAGAAAGACAAATCGCCCGAGTGTGTACAGCGGCCCTCTTCATTCTTTCATCCTCATCGTATACAGGTGTGTACCGCAGTGTGCTTTATGGGCAGTTTAAGGGATTTTCAAGGGTAATTTTGACTATACGAAATTTTTGCCTTAGGCGCCGAGTCCGGAGCCTAATCCCCGTGTTAGATGCAATTTCATGGTGTTATAGCTTGAGGATACATGGGGCGAAGGCCCTCAAGGAGGATGTGGGGCAGGTTTATGATGGAGGGGGTGTAGCCTGGTGAAGCGCATGGGGGCTGGCTGGAGACAGGGGCCTGGAGGCCAGAGTTTTCCAACTTCTGGGTTAAAATATTGCAATTACTATAGAGCTGCAGGTTCAAATCCCCACTCGGCTGTGAAGGCCACTGAGCGATTCTGGGGCATTCACGCGTACTGCCTAAGCTCCCTCACGCGGTTGTTGTGAGGAGAAGATTGAGGGGTGGGGGGTGTTGTGACGTGGGGTTTGTGATTTCAGCTCTCTTGACATCATATGCTGGAGACAGTTCTCTAGTAACACTTCTTTATTAAAGCAAACAAGACTGAGACCTGAGGAGGGGAAAGCTACATTTATAGGGACAGGGGACTAGCAAGAAAGGATACATTTTGGAGGGAACAATATCAGGCAATCACAGTCCTGCCTTTTGGAGGGAACCAATAAGACAGAGGATCCAAATACAGCAGCTTAAATGAACCAATAGTAGCTGTACCCTCTGGAACCAAAAGGCAGTTACTTTACCCTAATGCAAATACAGACAATAATAATACAGATATAAAATCCTTTGACTCAATACACAACACGGGGGAAAGTATGTCCCATGCCCTGAGTCTTCTGCAGAGAAGGCAAGGTGTCCCCATAATGAACAAATAAATGCTATGCTCACCAAAATGCACGTTTCTTTTGTATTTGTTTGCAGTGGCTCGGCTCCTCCAATAAGATCAAGGAGGTTCATGGGACTGTTTCCCTCCCCTTCTCTTCCTCCCTGACCCACCTGGCAATGTCTGCCGCCTCATGATGGCTTCTTTTTTACCAAGAGATGGGCAGATCCTGCTCCTCAGCTAAGGCAAACCTTTTTACCCCTTCTCATTTGCCCACCCTTATCCCTCCACCCAAGGGTGGCAGGGAATGGCTTGTTCTATCATTGTACCAAGTCTGAAGGGGTCTTAATGGTTTATATATGGTTTTCTTTTCTCCTTTCTGGATCTCTTAGTACAGGTACCACCAACCTTTTTAGGGCCAGAGGGTGTATTTGGAATGCTCTGGTCACAAAATGGCTGCCGCCGGGGGCGTGCCTTGAGACAAAATGGTCGCCACATATAAAAGAACGGGGGGGGGGGATTTGAAACTGGACAAGGAAGCTCTGCCATCGGCTGCCCCATCAATGGGCATAATGTGCTTTTTACTGATCATAAAATCATAGAGTGGTAGAGTTGGAAGGGACCCAAGGGTCATCTAGCCCAACCCCCTGCAATGCTCTGTTTGACATTCCGGTTGAGTTTCAGGGCACTTCCAGACAGCCACTATTTGGGGGTGGGGTTCAGGCATGAGATTATGGTAGATCTGGAGCTCTGGTGCAATAAACTCTCCACTCCCAGCTTTACCCAAATTTCCATTTTGAATTGTCGTTTCCTCTCAGTTTCCCTCCATCCCTGCTAATAATGAAAACAACGAGGGGGAAACTCTTTGTTTTTCTGTTCTGTTCAGAACAAGCGGGAGGCTGGGTGTCCAGTCATGGCATCTGATAAAATGTGGGGGCCCATTTAATATTGGAGAGGCTAATGTGGATTTTTGAAGCAGTCTTTACTCAGCAGGCACCATAGGAGGTGTTGGCGGGCACACGTGGGCACCATGTTGGCGACCCTTGCCTTGTCCTTTTTCTGAGTTTGCTTCTTATAAGGAACAGCAGTGAATCCATGTCTTATGTTTTTTGCTCTTTTCTCCTTTCAGGCGACTCCGAGAAGAGGCATTCATGCCAGAGTGCAGCCGGCGTTTTGCTCGAAAATCATCTCTCGCCAGACACCAGAGAATCCACATAGGAGAGATACCTTACAACTGCTTGGAGAGTGGGAAGGGTTTCCCCTGGGAGACAGAACTCGGGAGCCGTCGGAGCGCCCGCCCCAGAAGAGAAACCGTATAGGTGCCAGGAGTGTGGGAAACGTTTTGTTTACATATCAAAACTCGTTGTGCATCGGAGGGCCCACACGGGAGAGAAACCCCACGAGTGCGCGGAGTGCGGGAAAGGCTTCGCTTACAAGTCTTGCCTTGTGAGCCATCAGAGGCTCCACACCAGAGAGAAACCGTACGGATGTCCGGAGTGTGGGAAAAGCTTCGCTCAGCAGTCTGCTTTTGTGATACACCGGAGAATCCACACGGGAGAGAAGCCCTACAAATGCGCCGAGTGCTGCAAGTCTTTCCCTCAGCTCTCCGACCTAGTGAACCACCGGAGGGTCCACACGGGAGAGAAGCCCTATAAATGCACTAAGTGTGGTAAATCTTTTGCCCAGTGCTCGGCCCTTGTGATCCACCACAGGGTCCACATCGGGGAGAAACCCTACACGTGCTTGGAGTGCGGGAAAGGGTTCCCACAGCAGTCGGAGCTTGCAAAACACTGGCGGACCCACACGGGAGAGAAACCCTATACCTGCCTGGAGTGTGGGAAAGGTTTTCTTCAACAGGCTCACCTCAGTGGACACCAGAGAACCCACTCGGGCGAGAAACCCTACGGCTGCGGGGAGTGCGGGAAAGGTTTTGCTGACAAATCGAACCTGGCAAACCACCAGAGGACCCACACAGGGGAGAAACCCTACAGTTGCACTGGGTGCGGGAAGCATTTTGGCCAAAAATCCCACCTCGTGAGACACCAGAGAGTTCACACAGGAGAGAAGCCTTACAACTGTTCAGAGTGTGGGAAATGTTTTGCCCAAAAATCAAATCTTTTGATGCATCAGAGAGTCCATTTGGGGTAGAACTTGGCTTGTAACATGCTCTACAGATCTGTTTTTTTTAAGTTTCCCTTTTCTGTTTCAGTTTGCAATACTGTCTTTGCATTATTCACCCGTGAGAGCATTTGAATGAAAGGAGAATAAATTGTCACACTATGCAAATAACACAAGTAGACCTCTCCAGAGTCTACCATGAGACACTGGAGAAATCCTCGTCCGATATTCCTGTCTCATGCAAGATATAAACTGTTGCCATGCCACGCATTATTATTATTATTATTTATTGAATTTACATATCGCCCTATACCTGGAGGTCTCAGAGTGGTTCACAGAACAAAATCAAAATATTAAAGCATAAAATATATAATCAAAATAAAAGCAACAACCCAATAAAGCCCTGTTTAGGGAAGTTTTTAAAGATGACTGATGTTTTAATGTATTTTTAATCTGTTGGAAACCGCCCAGAGTGAAGTGAATGGGGAAACCCAGCCAGATGGGCAGGGTATAAGTAACAAATTATTATTATTATTATTATTATTATTATTATTATTATTATATTATTATTATTATTATCCCCCTCCAAAAAAAGCCACATTTTGAAAGGGCATAGGATGACAATCAAATCAACGAAAGGCCTGCTTAAAAAGGAATGTTTTTGCCTGGTGCCTAAAGGTGTATAATGAAGGCACCAGGTGAACTTCCCTGGGGAGAGCATTCCACAGATGGGGAGCCACTGCAGAGAAGGCCCCGTTCTCATGTTGCCACCCTCCGGACCCCTCCGGGAGGAGACACGCGAAGGAGGGCCTCAGAAGATGATCTCAGGGTCCAGGTGGGTTCATATGGAAAGAGTCAGTCCTTGAGGTATTGCAGTCCTGAGCTGTTTAAGGCTTTATAGGTCAAAACCAGCACTTTGAATTGGGCCCGGAAACTAATTGGTAGCCAGTGCAGTCGGACCAGGATCAGTGTAATATGTTCAAACCGTCTTGCAAACCTCACAACCATCTGGTCTAGGGAACCACCCACTAACAGTGCCTCAATTTTGTTTCAGTTTGTTGGCTCTCATCCGGTCCATTATTGAGGCAAGAAATAAGAGGGGCACGTTCTTTAGCAGCGTGGATTTGGCATGTTCGTTTTTTTGCCAGTTTTCTCAGACCCTTTGGTTCTCAGACCTTTAGCCCTTTGCCAGCATCTGGCAATTTTCAAGCCGCTGCAAGCAGAAATGACAACATTTCTTTATATACAGCTTGGAAAGTCAGCATTATTCATTATTCCCACTACTGCCAGGGCTGGAGACACGTTGATGTTCAGCTTATAAAAGTTTCCCAGTTCTTTAAAAACCTCTGTCCAAAGTGCAAACAGGTTTGCAATGCCACCAGGGCCATAGGAAACTTCCTGGGCTCTTCTTATCTGAATGCGCACATTTTCAACCCTAAAAGGGGAACTTTGTCTACACCAGGGAATCCCTTTTATGTTGGGACACTGTTGTACTATTTCAGTCTGCAGTTGGCTAGGATAATTCAGGCTTCTTGTATTAATTTACAAGACTCTTAACAACTTGGGGCCAGAATATTTTAGGGCTCACCTGATCACTTATATCCCTGCCTCTCACCAAGCACTTTTGCGGGACTCCTAATTTGTGGCGCAAATGCACGGTTTATAACCCCAGGAGCCATGCATTCAGCACTGTGGGCCTAATCCTGTGGAACTCCCTTCCACATACATGTTGAATCATAGAATCATAGAGTTGGAAGAGACCACAAGGGCCATTGTGTCCAACCCCCTGCCAAGCAGGAAACACCATCAGAGCAGTCCTGACATATGGTTGTCAAGCCTCTGCTTAAAGACCTCCAAAGAAGGAGACTCCACCACACTCCTTGGCAGCAAATTCCACTGTCGAACAGCTCTTACTGTCAGGAAGTTCTTCCTAATGTTTAGGTGGAATCTTCTTTCTTGTAGTTTGGATCCATTGCTCCGTGTCCGCTTCTCTGGAGCAGCAGAAAACAACCTTTCTCCCTCCTCTATGTGACATCCTTTTATATATTTGAACATGGCTATCATATCACCCCTTAACCTCCTCTTCTCCGGGCTAAACATGCCCAGCTCCCTTAGCCGTTCCTCATAAGGTATCGTTTCCAGGCCTTTGACCTGCCTTTGAACTGCACAGACATGTTGAACTTCAGGCATTGAACAACAGTCAGTCTATTCCAGCAGGCATTTTAAGTAAGTTATACTGTGCCTATTTATGAAACATAAGGTGTTTTTTTTTGTATTATTATGGTTCGTGGATTGTTTTATTTCTCCGTAAACTGCTTTGTGACCACCCAGTCTTAGAAACTGGGATAGGAAATCTAGGAGCCAAATGGCTCCTGGGACCTGGGTTGTGGGCGCCAAAACAGAATGTCTAGTCGCCATTTGGGGGGGGAGTCAGCAACACTTTTTATGTATTATTTTGAGAAGCATGAACTCATACACAATTCACATAAGTGACACATTGTTAATATCACATTTTTAACAGAAATGTTCATATATGTTTAATTTGGTGTTTGCACAATAAAAATATTGGTACCGTACTACAGTTTTCAAAACACTCTACTCTTTATTGTTAAACATATTGTTTATCCTTAACATATACTTCGAGGCTTCAAAGCACATATAATTCAGTTACTCTTGAGTGTCAGCCAGGTGCAAAAAATGGCACCCAGAGTTTTTCAGGTGCCCGCAAAGGGAGAATCTTTAGGTGTTAAATGCGCCTGGCACCCTGCTAGCTTCAAACCCTGTGACCATCTACGGTGAAAAACGGTCTGTAAATATGCAGCGTATCTGTTTTTGCAGTGGCAGGCAGTTCCAAAGGATAGGTGCCACCACACGGAAGGCCTGATTCCAAAATCATGCCGCATGGACATGTTGATAGGACGGTGTTTTGCAGAGGGTCCTCTCCTGCAGAATCCAATGATCGAGTTGCGTATGCAGGGGGAAGCCATGACTAATTGGCGCAAGTTTATTGCTAAATCCTGGTTCAGCCATTTCATGCTGGAATCGCCTTTCGATTTTTTTGCTGTTGTCTGAAAAGGTTGCTTTTCAAGTTAGCCGCAGAGTGGTTTGGGAGTTTATGCTTTCAATGTGCAATGTTTTATTACTTTTTAAGGTCTATTGGAAGCCGCCCAGGGTGGCTGGTGGTATCCGGTCAGATGGGCAGGGCACAAATAATAAAATTATTATTATTGAATTATTCCAATAAAGGTCCTAGTCGTGATTGGTGTAGCTTAATTATGCATGTGGCCAAAAGATGAAAACGGAAGACTCCACTCGCATTATAAAATGATTTGGTTAATGTAAATAGTTGCCTGGAATAAGAACTTATTTAGATTTGCATTCAGTAATATTGCCTAAACATCTTCTGGGTTAGGGTGGGGTATTTTATTATATGTGGGTGTACAATACTGTTATATGTAATAATCTGATACAAAATATGTAATAATCTAATACAAAATAAAACATCCTAGACCTTAAGGTTCCTCCAGACAATCTATTTATTTATATCTGCTGACAGCTCAGTCAGTTAGAGCTTTGTGCTGATAACGCCAAGGTTGCAGATTCGATCCCTGTTTGGGACAGCTGCATATTCATTCCTATATTTCAGGGGATTGGACTGGGTGATCCTCAGTGTCCCTTCCAACACTACAACTCTGTTACTCTATGAATATTCTTTTTTTATATAAATATTTTTATTAGATTTTCCATTAAAAAAAACATTTTTACAAAATTATACATCCATTTTTAACTTAAACCCTTTTTTCCAGAACTTCCCTCAGTTTGTCTGATAATTTTCCATTTTTTTAAATTCTCGTCTCACATTTCCCAATATTATATTGCACTCAAATACTCTTAATCACATCATATTTTTTAAACAATATTTCTAACAGTAATTTTACAGAGCTTTTTGAAAGCCAACGAACATTATTTGCTCATCACAGAAATTTTTGATATACTCTGTAAATTTCTTCCAGTCCTCGGAGAATCTCTGGTCATGTTGGTTCCGAATTCTCCCCATCAGTCTGTCCATTTCGGTGTATTCCATCAGTTTCATCCTCCATTCTTCTTTCGTGGGCATCTCTTCCTGTTTCCATTTCTGTGCCAGCAAAATTCTGGCTGCTGTTACTGCATACAGAACTAATTTCACATCTTATTACTCTATGAATATTCATCCCAATTCAACAAATCAAATTCCATACGTGGGTTAGATTATATCCAGTCTGTATTGATCCAATTTGCTTACGCTTCCATTCTACCACATCCTGTTTTGCTTGTCCGTCTTCCCACACGGCCATTAATTTCACTGGGTTTACTCTTGAGTAGGACTGGCACTGGCCACAACCTCAGGGCTCGGTTTTTGCCCTGTGCTCTGTCCAGGGCTGGGGTGAAATGTTGCAGTTACACTGTTGATGTGGACAGAATATTGCCAGCACAAAACCCAGTGTTTGGAAGTTTTCCCTGGGTGCCCATGCGCTACCAGGGCAGGTTCAGGCTCCTTGTATTAATCTCCCAGGCCCTAAATAATTTGGGTTCAGGATACTTCAGGGCCCGCCTCACCAACAGGCATTTTATTTGAAGGCTGATCCTATAGCTAACTGACCTTTGTGGTTTTTCATATAGAATCTTTGTAAACCTCTTAAGAGACTATTGTAGTTAAATGGTATATAAATTGTATAACTGAATAACAAAATAAAAACCACTTCCCTAACTGCAAAAGAGGTTCCTTTTGAAAGTGCCTGAATCCATTTCAGTTTTCCAAACTTAAATTTCCTGGTATTTTCATCTCTCCTGCAAGCTACTGTCTGGCGGCACTCTGACTCTCTTAACTACACACACACAAAATCATTTTGCTAAGGGTTTCTAAGGTTTACCGTAATTTATTTTGCTTTTCTGCTTTTGCCTAACAATGTCACGATAATACTGCATGTTTGTTTTGACGATCCTGCTTTTCATATTTGGTGAATATCCTGCATCTAGTAACTCAATAAAGAATTGAGCCTCTCTAAATCTAGTCCCCGTTTTTATATTCCATGTATATCCTGCATAGGGAAGTTTTCAATGTTTAATGTCTATTATTATTATTATTATTATTATTATTATTATTATTATTATTATTATTATTTAAATACGCCGGAAGCCGCCCAGAATGGCTGGGGCAACACAATCAGATGGGCAGGGTACTGCTACTAATACTAAGGCTTTGCTCAAATGATACAGCAGTGAATTCCTCAAAATAAGAGGTGGGGGGAATTTTGGCTCCAAGGGAACTTGCAGGATAATTTTGCCAGGTAGGTAGAGCATCTTGCCTCATAGCTTATCCTCAGGTAGGTAGAGCATCTTGCCTCATAGCTTATTCTCAGATCAACCCTGGAAGGTAGGGCAGGCTGAGAGATAGCGACTGGTCCAAGGTCACGCAGCAAATTTTTGTGGCTCATTGGGGATTTCAACTTGGGTCTCTCATCTTAGTCAAATCACGACACCACATTGGGGCAGGGGGAGAGGAAGGGGAGCCGAGGAAAGAGTAGAGCCACATACTTCAACAGTACGGCCTGGGATCCTTTCGACTGTCAGTTTTGAGGACAAAACATGGGGCCTTATGCAGGGAACAAGGGATGCTGCCTTATAACCCATGGGTAGGCAAACTAAGGCCCAGGGGCCGGATCCAGCCCAATCACCTTCTAAATCTGGCCCGTGGACGGTCTGGAAATCAGCATGTTTTTACCATAGCTGTCAAGTGTCCCTTATTTGAAGGGACAGTCCCTTATTCCAGCGCCATGTCCCGCTGCTGTCCCTTATTGATGGATGTCCCTTAAATGATGTCCCTTAAATTTCAAAGGAAGCAGCTCCTCTCCCTCCCTCCCTGCCGGCCAGGGAGGAGGGAGGCTCCAACTGTGCTGCTTGGCTGTGCTGCTCACCCAATAAGAAGTCTTAAGAACAACTGGGGGGTGGAGCTTGCATGCCTTGTGTGTGGCTAGTTAATGCAAGCTGAGGGGGTTTTTGAATGCTGGAAGCCATTTTGTTGCACGTGCTGCTGCAAACTTTGCAGTGCAAAGCCAGGCCAGGGAGCCATCTTAAGTTGAGGCTGCGTAGGCCTTGTGGTGCATGTGATTCAGATTCTATTCAGTTGAACCTCTGGTTACAAAGTTGGTTGGACAGTGTTCTCGAAGCAACCAGCATGCGTTTGACCAGACTGCAGGAGGACAGGAAGACTGGAGTGCCTGGAACTGGTGAGGCTGCAGGTCCCTTATTTTGGCTGCTGGTCCCTTATTTTCAAGGCTGCTGGTCCCTTATTTTCAAATCTGTAAGTTGACAGCTATGGTTTTTACATGAGTAGAATGTGTGCTTTTATTTAAAATGCATCTCTGGGTTATTTGTGGGGCCTGCCTGGTGTTTTTCCCTCAGTAGAATGTGTGCTTTTAATAACAAATTAATAATAATAAATTTTTATTTATACCCCGCCCTTCCCAGTTCAAAAACCGGGCTCAGGGCGGCTAACAACAAATTTAAAACACTTAATTGATACAACAAAAAACAGCATAAAATACAGTATAAAACATGAATAACAATAAATACAGAATTCAGAAATCAATTTAGGGGGGAAACCATCCAATAAACATTTAGCTGGCTAAATTAGTCCTATTTGGGCCAGCGTGGAGACCAGGGGAGAATTAGCTGTGGGGTCTCAGAGTGAGTAATCTTCATAAAAAGGGGAGGGGGAGGGAAGGAAGGGGAATAAAAGATCAGGCTAAGTTCAAGTTGAAAGCCAGGCGGAATAGCTCTGTCTTACAGGCCCTGCGGAAGGAAGTTAAATCTTGCAGGGCCCTGGTCTCATGGAACAGAGCATTCCACCAGGTCGGAGCCATCACTGAGAAGGCCCTGGCCCTGGTGGAGGATAATCTGACTTCCTTAGGGCCCATGACCTCTAAACTATGATTATTCATTATTCATGGACCTTAAGGCCCTCTGCGGGGCATACCAGGAGAGGCGGTCCCATAAATATTTATTTAAAATGCATCTCTGGGTTATTTGTGGGGCATAGGAATTCGTTCATTCCCCCCCCCAAAAAAAATATAGTCCAGCCCCCCAAAAAGTTTGCTGACCCCTGTTATAACTACATCAGGCCGTTGGTCCATGCAGCTCAGTATTATTTTCCCACATCTGCCTTTTCCAACATGGTGCCCACGGGTGCCAGGGCACCCGCAATGTCCTAGCAGTTGTTGGGAAACCTCGTTATTTCCCTCGCAAAGCTCCGATGACCAGAGGGCTTTAACAAACAATCTCCCTTCCCAGGGAATTATGGGAATGGGGGGGTGTCTCCTGACAACTCTCTGCAGGTGGTGCTTGTATGTTTTCTGAAGAGGGGGATTGTTTTAAACCCACTATATAATTTATTCTATCCAGTTTGGAAACGCTTGAAAAAAACACCACACAACTTGAACTCTATGTTGCACGGCGTGACTTCCATCTGAGAGCGAACGAGAAACAGCCCTTGGAGCAGCGATGGACTGGCGTTAACAGAACTAGCATGCTGCTTTGCTGAAAGACCCCGGACGTCCTAATATTGCAGATGCAAGCGGTGGACACATGGCCTCTCCAACTCTATCCTGAGTGAAATCTACCAGGCCCCATTGTTTCAGGCCTAGTGACACCCTGCTCCCTGCATTTCCTATGGCTGCCAAAGAGCTCTTGCCACCAGAAAGTTCTTTCTAATGTTTATTTGGAATCTCCTTTTTTGTAATTTGAATCCATTGGCTCGGGTCCTACCCTCCAGAGCAGGAGAAAACAAGCTTGCTCCCTCTTCCGTGAGACAGCCCTTGAGATATTTGAAGATGGCTATCGTATATCCTCTCAGCCGCCTCTTTTCCAGGCTAGTCATACCCAGATCCTTCAACCGTTCCTCATCAGGCTCGGTTTCCAGACCCTTGATCATCTTGGTTGCCCTCCTCTGTATACCGTATTTATCACTCCATAAGACACACTTTTTTCGTCCTAAAAAGCAAGGGGAAATGTCTGTGTGTCTTATGGAGCGAATGCATGGTCCCTGGAGCTGAATTGCCCAGGGGCAGAAAGCAGATCATGCTTTTTTTTTTTTTTTGAAAGAGGAAGTGGGTGTTGAAACAAAGCCGCTGATTGCAAGCAATCAGAAGTGAGATAAGGGACGCTAGCAATAAAGGAGGCTGCCTGGGATGGGGGAGGTAAAGACAGCAAACTTGCAAGGAAAGGAGACAGGAAGACTAAAGCAACAAGGAAAGAAATTAGAAGAAAAGGAGGAGCAAAAAACTGCTCCAGCTAAGGAAAAGACACTAAGGCAAACAAGAGGGAAGGGAGTATTGAAAGGAAGCAGCTGATCAGTAAGGAATCGGGAGACAGATAAGGGATGCTAGCGATAAAGGAGGCTGCCTGAGAGCGGGGAGGTAAACGCCCATGGATCCTCAGGATTTTTACATGGGATCACCCCAAATACACCCCAGGTTCACCATCAGATCACACAGCATATCCATGGCTACAGCCTGCACCAAAAAAATCACTCACCCACTGTTTCCTGGGGCCGCAGTGGTGCAAAACGTAGTTACAAAGCATGGATCCACATGGATCCTCAGGATTTTTGCACTGGGCTACCCCAAACTCACCATCAAATCACATGTCCGTGGCCACAGCATGAACCACAAAAATCATAAATCCACTGTTTTGTTCAGAATAATTTTTTTCTTGTTTTCCTCCTCTAAAAACTAGGTGTGTCTTATGGTTAGGTGCGTCTTATGGAGCGAAAAATACGGTACATTCAAGCTTGTTGATATCTGAAGGAAGGTGAAGACAGGTGACCCCACCTAGGCCCGAAGTCACCCCCCCCAACCAGGCCTCAAAACTGTTCAAAATTCCTTTTGTCTTCTAAAAACCCACAGCTACAGCTTTTCTGTGGATTGGTACATAGGCAAAATGTTACTTTTAAAGGCTAATGAATAGGCTCTGTCATTGCCAAGAATACTCAGGCCTGAGAAACGAATCTTATCTCATTCGGCTGCAACATCTTGGACATGCTGAACCACCAGGGCTCCTCGACCCACCCCCTCGGCTTCTCATTCCCCCTTTCCTGCCAAGAGTCCCAAGACAGCTTTCTGTTCATGCTCAGAGGAACTCATGGGCAGGACTCCTGAGGGAGGAGAAAGGGGGAGGGAACTGGAAAGGGGAATATATGCTTGTGCACATGACTGTGAACCCGTGCATGCTTTTTGTGACTTATCACACTTGCTCCTTCTACCAGTTCATGGATGGTGGAAATAAAAGCTTTTTCTCTGAAACTATTCCTTGAGTGTCTGTTGACTCCCACTTCCCTTTCCCGGGCGCAGTATTTTTCCCACCCGAGGGCAAAGCCTCATAAGGCTACAATATCCTCCTTAAATTGTGGTGCCCAGAATTGGACACAGTATTCCAATTGTGCTCTGACCAAGGCAGCATAGAGCTGTACTATTCCTTCCCTTGATCTGGACACTAGACTTCTGTTGATGCAGAACAGCATTAGCTCTTTTTGCTGCTGCATCACACTGTGATGTTAAGCTTGTGGTCAACTAAGACCCCTAAATCCTTTTTTTTTTTTTTTGCACATGTACTACTGGCAAGTCAGGTCCATTAATTTTTATGAGTCTTCTCTGTGTACGGCTCTGTGTACAACCCTTACCATTTTTCTCGATTTTATTTCATTTTGGTGAGTTGGCATTTTTCTTAACAAATTCTGCACCTCCGTTTTTTTACACAGGACCCAATTCTGGTGGTACTGGACATGCAAAATTTAATATGTGCAAAGAAATTGTCATTCATTACTCTTTATTTGCAGAACATTTTGCCAATACACTAAAAAACTCTTAAAGCAACCATGCATAATAAAGGCAGCCACCTACAACATCCAGTTATTTAAAAAAAACTCAGAAACAAACCTCCACACATAGACAACTCCCTACACAGTGTAACAAAATAGGGGGAGGACTTAATGTGGAGGAGAAGCCATTTGTTTTGCTCTCTATCCTGAATTTACACACAATGGTCAAAGAGAACCCAAGGCAGTGTACATTTGTAAATTCAGTTTCTTTTGAAGAGTTGGCGACTTTTCAAAATGGAGTCCCACATCCCGGGGATCGTGGCGAGCTTTCCCTATTTCCCCTCACCTGCCTTTATTTATCTTCACTTGCATATTAACATGGCGGAAAGTCATATTGCAAGGTTACTCCAGATTGTGGTATTTCACAGCAAAAACTTGCAAACACAGTAAACGAACGAGATTAAAATGAGAGGATTTCGACATAAGACAGGTAACAATAATGTGGACTAAGCATGGATAACAATAAGCAAAATCTAGGTTAAAATATTTTAAAATGTACAGAATGTCTATGATACAGTACAACTTGGAAACCTTGACGTTGATGCTTCGTGACAATGTTAAGGCCGCTGGAGCCCAGGGGAGGGATGCAATGGCAATCTAAGAAAATTCTGACATTTATCAGTAAATCCAAAGCACAAGATGATTCGGTTAAAAAAAGAAGAATAAGATGATGATTCGGTAAATGACCAAGTATTTTTCTTGTTTCTGTTTTTTGCAAGTGAGGAGTGACATTTAGCATTTATTTGGTTTTACGTTTCCGAAACAAGTATAATGATAAAATTCTTTCTAATACAGTACCTTACTGTAAGTTTCAAGACCAACTACAGTCAGCTAGAATCAATTCTACAAGAGTATCATTTCCCATGGACTGGTTGCAGATCCCTGACAGTCAGGGACAGATCTCAAAAATACAGAGTGCCTGGAAAGAATCATACCCTCTTTCTCCATCATTAACTGGTAAATGTCAGCATTTAAGAAGGGCAAGGTTTGACATGATGTCCAAGATGATTTAAGAAATGAAATGATTTTCATACGATATCCCCCTGTCCCTTAATCATCCCCGTAGATGAGCTACTGCTATGAAACTCTGAGAAACGCCATGCACTATAGCAATTTTCTTTGAATTACAGGATGCTTTTATTGGCAATTTATAAAATTTAACCTCTCAATATTTAAAAAGCTTAGCATAACGCATTCGTGGAAGGTAATATACCCCACAGAGACGGTCCAGCGTGCTCACCCGACCCTCCGTACTGTTCACAAAACATCCCGTGCACCCACTAAGCCCAGTTCCCCACTAATATTGTTGCTCTCTAGTCTACATTACAAATGACAGCACAACTGTTTTGCATCTTTATGCAGAAGCGAAGTCCCGCTGCAGTCCGAGAAGCGATTTCAGCATTGCAGGCTTAAAAGTACTCAAAAGTGTTAGCATACCTGTTGGGAGTGAAAGGTTGCTGCATTCATCATCCCATACCTTTGATTTAGTCTCAAAATAGCCCATAATATTTGCTTTTAAAACCATACCAACCAACCACAATTGCTTACTGATCAAGAGCCAAGCACCAACTTTGAACCTAATTATTTTAGGGTCAACTAAATGGAAACAAGTTTTGTCATTTTTGGAAGGCTTATGCAAAAAAAGCAAACTCCTTCCTTATTAACATTTATTTGGGACTTGTGTGGAGGCGAGACTGTTTTGCTTCTTTGCTCCCCAAATTATGGATTTGGGGGGGTTGGTCCTCTGACCAAGCCAAGAATCTAAGCCAGCCTTTGTATGTAAGCTCATAAAAGTCATTTGCCCACAAGTCCTCTTCACTACCAGCCACTGAGCAGGCTGGGAAACAAAACAACCACAACCACAACCACAACAACCCTGCTTTCGATTAAGCATGCTGGTTGATGTGGGGAAGGAGGATCTGTCCATCTTCTACCATTTGCCTCCTGTGCTGTTATGAAGAGGAATTTCCTTCCTTTAAGGCTAGAATGGAGTCCAACAAGGCTGGTACAGGAGAACTGGCCTGAGCCCACTCACTCGCCTGCATGGCATTCCTGCTCGCCTGTGGCGACCAAGCGAGCTGTTAAAACACAAGGCTGATCTCGGTGCAGTCTTAAAACATGTTTACTTGGAAGTAAGGCCTTCTGATTTCAAGGGGGTTTTACTCCCTTGCTATTTTGCATAGGATTGCAGCCTATATAAAAACATTTGTATGATTTTTTTCAAGAGAGCAAGGAAAATGAAAGCGCTGCAGCATGCTGAACTCTCGTGGCAGAGGTTGCTAATACAAAAAACTAAAGCCCACACATGCCAGTACATTTGGGAATAAGGTAAGCTCCCTCCGATATTCATGATGCAGCTATATCGCTTCTTCTTAGACTCCCATCAGCTCCAGCAAGCATGGCCAGCGCTCAGGGATTATGGGAGTTGTAGCACCAGTAGCACCATTTGCAGGGAGTGTCTGCATCCCAAACTGAATTCATAGGAACCTGTTCTCAGTAATTTATTTTATTTTTGCCAGATTTCAGCAGAACCTGTTAACCTATGTCTCAGTCTCACAAATCAGCTGATAACTGTTAAGCAGAGTGCTCTTTCACATGCTTCTCATTGCAGGCTTGGAGATTCCCAGTTCGGGTGATGTACTATCTAGTTTTGTGATTCTATAACTGTGACTTTCTTCAGCCGTCAAACAAACCCAAATACGCTGAACTGCCCTGCTGCCCAACATCGTGCAACTCCCCCAATGCGGTACAAAATCCAACCCACATGTTTCCAGAAATATCATTTTGGGAAATAATCCCTTTTTAACTACGTTAGAAGTGTGGAAAACGACAAACCTTTCTGATGACACCCCTCCCTTCCACTTTTAGATCTCTGCTAGAGCAAATCTATACGATCGGGTTTACAAAATGTGACAGTCTAACATTTTTAACCAAACTGATACCAAGAGGCAACAAACCCCTTTTAAAGCACCCTCTTTAAAATTTGGTGTGGGTCAGAACAAGCAGGATGGGTGTCCAAATTCCCTTCCCTCCCCCCAAGTTAAATAATGACCATCTTTCGAAATATGGGGGAGGACAAAAGGGGGGTGGTTTTTTTACAGACCACCCTGATTGTCATTCATTCTGCCACAGCCAGTTGCTGAATCTCATTCAGTCGTTTTGCTTCCATCTAGTCCGAGAGAGTACAGAATCACCATCGATTTTGGAAGCTAAAGAGAACAACAGAACCAAAATAGCATTATTTTTATCTGCCTCTTTTCCCTTTTTTTTTTTGAAGGCATACACCCAAAAATTTAATCTTTGAGAATCCCTGTTCAATAATGATAGATCTCTCCTCTAAGTCAAGCAGGAAGTGGGCATAGCTGTGAAATGCGAGGAATCTTCCCTGCAGAGCTGGATCTCCCTTTCTGAAGATCCTGTGCCTAAAGATCCAAACGGAGCTTCTGCCAGTCAGATCTTGGATCGATACATCTCTGCTTTCAAACATGCTTCTTTTCAAGAATGTCTAAAGCATGGCTTTCTTGCTTGACCGGACAATCTTACTCGATGGCCGTAGGCCTGGATGAAGCTCCTTCCCTGCTCTGAGCATCCTTCACAGCGTCAAGCTCCTGTCCTCGGTTAACTCTTTCATGACTAGGATGGCTTGATCTCCGACGGAAGTCTCCTCGATTGTCCACAGGTTGGGTACCCCACCTTCTCCGGCCTCCGCCGAGGGTGCGTAAGACGTAATGGGCCAGTGAAACGTTTCCGCAGGGTGAGCGTATCCGTAATAGTTCTCTTGCGTGAAGCCGATGCTCTCTGGAGTGAAGCTCTGAGTGATGTCCAAAAAGATATTGGCTCCGACCGCAGCCTTGGCCTTGCGCGACCGGCCTTTGTGGCGCTGGGCGTCGTGCGTGTTCTGGTGGCGGATGAGGTGAGAGCTCTGGTTGAAGCTCTTCCCGCACTCGGTGCACCGATAGGGCTTCTCGCCCGTGTGGATCTTCTGGTGCCGGAGCAGCGTGGCCAGGTCGTTGAAGCTCTTCCCGCATTCTGTGCATTTGTAAGGCTTCTCCCCGGTGTGGATTCTCTGATGTCGGAGGAGGGTCCTGCGGTCGCTGAAGCTCTTCCCGCATTCCGTGCACTCGAAGGGCCTCTCGCCCGTGTGCACCCGCCAGTGGGCCTCCAGGTTCGACTTGTCGCAGAAACTCTTGCTGCAGCTGGAGCACTTGTAGGGCTTTTCCCCCGTGTGGCTGCGCCAGTGAGTCTTGAGGCTGTACTTGTTGTAAAAGCTCTTGCTGCAGCTCGAGCAGTGAAACGTCTTCTCCCGGGTCTCCACGTGCGTCTTTTGATGCGTAATGAGATTTGTGGTCCGGTTAAAGCTCTTCCCGCACTCGGGGCATTTGTACGGCTTCTCGCCCGTGTGGATTCTCTGATGTCTAAGAAAGCTGGTTTTGTCGCAAAAGCCTTTGCTGCAGACTGTGCACTTGTAGGGCTTCTCCCCTGTGTGGATTCTCTGATGCACCTTAAGGCTCGCCTTGCGCGTGAAGCTCTTCCCGCAAACCTTGCACTGGTTTTTTCTTTTGCCTTTGTAAGCTTTTGCTGGAGCTGGCAAACCGTTGAAGTCGCTGCCCTGGCAATTGGGTTTATCCCGCCAGTCTTCTTCTGTTTGGTCGTCCCCGTTTTGCTCTAGTCCTCCTTGATCCCCAACATTATCTTCATCCTCTGTATCGTCTGACAACACTCCGTATGGTTCCCATTCACTCTCGCTCTCCCAGCCATCACCTAGGAGAGAGGGAGAGAGAGAGATCAATACAAAAGCGAAGGAAATATAAAGAGACCAGGGAGAGGAGTCGGTGGAAGAAGATTGGAAAAAGTTTAAAGACTATCTACAGAAATTAATGAATGTTAGAAAAATGTTGAAATGAAGTTATATGGCTTTAGTAGAAATATAAGGAATTAAATACAGATAGGTTAATAGAGTATTAAAGGAAAAAATATGGTTAGAATGAGTTAAGATAATTATAGGATAGAAAACAGAGGAAGATGGAAAGGAATTGCTGAAATAATTAATAAAAGTGGAATACAAAAAGGGAGGTGTGAGGAGGTTGTGGAAATAAGTGAATGAAAGATGGGATAATGAAATTGTTTGATTTATTTTATTGTCTTTGTCTTGTTTTGTTAATTTGATGTGCTGCATTGTATTGTCTTTTTTTCTTTTTTTCTTCTTATTTTAGTGTCTTTGGAAAAATAATATTATTTTTTTTAAAAAGGAAATATAAAAGATTCAAACTCTGTGAAATAGCAACAAGTCTATTTCTGCAAAGAGCTGAAAAATGGTTCTTTTGCCTGTAGATCCCTTTGGCATCTTTAAGGGAAGAGACCACAGCCTTTTTTGACACCTGGGAAGGTTATTTATTTATGCCACTACTGCAGCTCGTGTTCTGTTAGCCCCAAAATAGAAAACAAGCAAAGTCCCAACTAAAGAAGAATGGCAACTTAAACTGATGGAATATGCGCAGCTTGTGGACCTAACATATAGAATAAGAGAACAAGAACATATGTTTAAAGATGATTGGAAAATGTTTATTGAATATATGGATGAAAATTGTGTATATCTGAAAATGTGGGCAGCATTAAGATAAATTCAACAGAATAAGTTTTGGTGGATGTTATAATGCAATACTGAATGGTTTAGTTTATATAAAATATGCAGGGATTTATGTTGTGCAATATGAACCATGGAAAGAGAGGAATGGAAGCCACTGATGTTTTAAGGTTGTTTAAGTGAATATTCTAAAATGTAAAACAGAAATTTAAGAAAAATTATAATAAAAAAGGGAAAAGACCACAGATTGGTGATAGACGACCCGCTTTGCATGCAGAAAGTCCCAAGCTCAAATCCTGACATCTCTGTACAGGGCTGGGAGAGACTCCCTGCTTACAGAATCATAGAACTGTAGAGTCGGAAGGGACCCCAAGGGTCATCCAGTCCAACCCCCTGTGATGCAGAAATCTCAGCTTAAACATCCATGACAGATGGCCATCCAGGTTTGAAACCCTGGAGAGCTGCTGCCAGTCAGGGAAGACAATACTGAGCTGGGTGGGCCAAGGATCTGACTTGGTATTAGACAGCTTCCTGTGTTCCTCAACTGACTACAGTGGTACCTCAGGTTACAGACGCTTCAGGTTCAGGTTACAGACTCCGCTAACCCACAAATAGTACCTCGGGTTAAGAACTTTGCTTCAGGTTGACAACAGAAATCGCACGGCGGCAGCGGGAGGCCCCATTAGCTAAAGTGATGCTTCAGGTTAAGAACAGTTTCAGGTTAAGAACGGACCTCCAGAACGAATTAAGTACTTAACCCGAGGTACCACTGTACAGTCATACCTTGGGTTAAATATGCTTCAGGTTGAATGTTTTCAGGTTACGCTCCACGGCGACCCAGAAGTAATGGAACGCGCTACTTCCGGGTTTTGCCACTCTGCAGACGCTCAAAATGATGTCACGCGCATGCGCGGAAGCGGCGAAACACGACCTGCGCACACGCAGTCGCGTGTTACGTTCTACTCAGGATGCGAACGGGGCTCCGGAACGGTTCCCGTTCGCATCCAGAGGTACCACTGTATTGTTACTAAATTTATATCCTTTCCTTTCCTCCAAGGTGTTTCAAGCGCTACACCTGGCTCCCCCCCCCCCACCTCTACTTTATCCCACAACAACTCTGCGAGGTAAATTAGGCCAAGAGAAATTGACTGGCCCAAAGTCCCCCCAGTGAGCTTCCTGGCCGAGTGTGGCTTTGGACTCTGGAGTCACAGGTCCCAGCCTGCCATTCTAACCACCAAAACACACCTGGGGTCAGACGGGGGCAGCTCCATGTCATCGCTATCCTAACCCAACAATGGGTGCCTCATGCCTTGGTGCCAAATGCCCCTTCCAGTTACCTCACAGGCGACACCCCTGACCAACCCTACTTTGCACGCTCCTTGAACTCTGATGTTACCACCGGCTTGCCTGGATGAAGGCCGGAGGCGGTGGGTGAGAGTTTGTGTAGAAACCATCATGGCCTCTCCCAAAGAATCTTGGGAAGTGTAGTTTACAGTGGTGCCCCGCAAGACGAATGCCTCGCAAGACGGAAAACTCGCTAGACGAAAGAGTTTTCCGTTTTGGAGGTGCTTCGCAAAACGAATTTCCTATGGGCTTGCTTCGCAAGACAACAATGTCTTGCGAGTTCCTGCTGGGTTTTTTTCCTCCCCCCCTTTTTTCTAAGCCGCTAAGCCGCTTATCAGCTGATCCGCTCAGCAGATAAGCCGCTAAAAGCCGCTAATAGCGCTAATCCGCAAATCCTTCAATGGGCTTGCTTCGCAAGACGAAAAAACCGCTAGACGAAGAGAATCACAGAACGGATTCTTTTCGTCTTGCGAGGCACCACTGTATTAAGAACTGTGGGGAGGTCCCTGCTCCCCTCTCAGAAACGCCACTCCCAGCATGGCTTAACAGTCAATCCCTCTTCCTATCAAACTCAGGGAATTGTATCTCTGTGAAGAGAAGGGCTGTGCTTCTTAATAACTCTCAGCACCCTCAACGAACATGGCTTCTGAGAGGGAAAGAAGAAACAATCCCGAACAGGGAAGAATGGCAAACCAAGTTGATGGGACTACGCTGAAATGCCAAAATTAACTGGAAAGCTTTAGGAACCAAGAGGACAAGAACTTTAGAAAAAGAATGGGGGGAAATTATAATTTATTTAGGAAACCATTATAAGAAGATGAAAACATTAGCAGGATTTTAACCTCACTTGTAAGGTAACAAAGACTATGGGCAATTGGACAGATAAAAAAATGTGGATAACGGATTGATATGCAGTTGTAAATATTGACATTAGGACCCATGGAGGGGATGGGGGTGGGGAAAATCCTGAGATTCGGGGCAATCTCCTTATATGGACTTTTAATTGATTTTGTTATAAGTTTCTATTTTTTAAAACCAAATAAAAATTATTTCAAAAAGAGAAAAGAAACATGGCTTGTTTAAAATGGTATAAGACTGCTTCGGTTGTCTGGTACAGATGTGGCCGCAGCCAAACAGCATCTGGTGGGAAGGCAGAGGGGCCCCATCCTGGCTCGTAGCGGACACTCACTCTCTGCAGCTTCAGCCACAAAAGAAATGCCCTCTTGGGATCCTCCTGGTTGTGCCTCGAGTGGCTCTTCCAACAAAAGGTCTTCCTCTTGGGAGTCCTCTATGCTGAGGGAGGTCCCAGTCGCGCTATCTGTAGCGAGGGGGAGGGGAGAAAAGATCACTTTCTGTCTGAATTGGACAGAAAACCAGGATATGAATCTTCAAATAAGTAAATCTACCAGCTGATTCCTTCTGCCATGTCTCTCTCGGCTGATTTCCCTCGGGCGCCTCGGCTTCTCTTCCATTTCCAACGTTTTCCTTCGGCTCCTCCATCTCGCTCTCTTTCGGAGCCACTTCAGCCGGTCCCCCGCTGTGTTCGCTCCCCCAGAGATCGGCCACTGAAATAGGAGACCAAGAAGATCGTAAGGGGAAAATGGCACCTTAAACCACGAGATTTCCCCCAAAACCCTGGGGAGATGCCTCACGAATCAGACGGTGGCCTGGTTCACACAACAGGCCAGGCCAAAACTTGGCTTGGTGAAGCTCCTGAAAAGGACCTCACAGCTGCTTTTTGCTTTGCTCCTCCTAGCTACGTTTTGATGTCCAGAGCTTCAGCCATGGTTTGGCTCAGCGTGGCCTCCTAACTGGGCCTCGTGGTAAAGCTCTCTCCTACCTAAGGACATAACCTTGTTCCTCAGGAACTATGAACTATGACCAAGGGAAGGAGCTTAATCACGAGCCCCGGGTTTGGAAGACATGCTAAGTCAATCCTTGGCAGCAAAAACCAGGGAGGGTCAGAGTTTCCTTCTCCTTCCCAGGTTGACAAGCCCCGCCTGCCCCCCCTAAAAGGTCCCAAATGCTGCAATTAAGAATCTTACCTGTTGGTTGTTCTCCTTCTTCAGAGCTCTGGTCAAATATCTCTTCCTTTTCTTCCAACCAGGAGATGAGATCAGGTTTAGGAACCGGAGCTCCTTCTGGAGAAGAATGAAAAAAGCCCATCACACACACCAAAGCTATTATTTCTGGCTTTCTTGAGGAACTTCGTACCAGCCACTCTGAAACTACCCTGGCCACTGCCACTCCAGCACAATATTTGGGAAGGCAAGATCTTCTAACTGAGGGATTGAAGGGGAATCTGCTGCAGGCTTTCAGATTCTCTTGGACTCCAGTTCCCATCCGCACTGCAGCCAGCATGGGCAACAATCAGGGAAGATGGTTCTGCAGGCCAGGAAGTTCCTCACCTTGAGGGTTAGAGAGATCGGTCAATGGCTGTTAGCAATTATCTGCTACTTATTTTAGAAAGTGGTCTGTCCATCTGTCCTCTGTAGGCTTGGACGCCTTTCAAGATATTGGGGATTGAAGCTGGGATGTCCTGCCTCCAAAGCAGATGCTCTACCAGTGAGCTGTGGCCCTTCCTTATGTCTCAACATAAAGGTAAAGGTAAAGGGACCCCTGACCATTAGGTCCAGTCGTGACCAACTCTGGGGTTGCGGCGCTCATCTCGCTTTATTGGCCGAGGGAGCCGGCATACAGCTTCCGGGTCATGTGGCCAGCATGACTAAGCCGCTTCTGGCGAACCAGAGCAGCGCACAGAAACACCGTTTACCTTCCCGCCAGAGTGGTACCTATTTATCTACTTGCACTTTGACGTGCTTTAGAACTGCTAGGTTGGCAGGAGCAGGGACCGAGCAACAGGAGCTCACCGCGTTGCGGGGATTCGAACCGCCGACCTTCTGATCGGCAAGTCCTAGGCTCTGTGGTTTAACCCACAGCACCACCTGCGTCCCTATGTGTCAACATAGAATGGCTCAAAATAGAATCAGAGTTGGAAGGGACCCTGAGGATCATCTAATTCAACCCCCTTACAATGCAGGAATATGCAGCTGTCCCATACGGGGATTGAAGAAGAAGAAGACGACTTTGGCTTTGATATCCCGCTTTATCACTACCCGAAGGAGTCTCAAAGTGGCTAACAATCTCCTTTCCCTTCCTCCCCCACAACAAACACTCTGTGAGGTGAGTGCGGCTGAGAGACTTCACAGAAGTGTGACTGGCCCAAGGTCACCCAGCAGCTGCATGTGGAGGAGCGGAGACGCGAACCCGGTTCCCCAGATTACGAGTCTATCGCTCTTAACCACTACACCACACTGGCACTCAGTATCACGCTCTAACCAACTGAGCTATCCAGCTGACATATTTGAGATGGCTTCACCCAGAGCCGTGATAGGATTATAAGAAGATAGCCTACACTGATTGGCAGCAGCCTTTAAGGGTTTCAGGCAGGGAACATTCGCAGCCCAGAACTTAACCTGGGACCTTCTGCATGCAAGGCCCGATTCTCTGCCACAGGGGCTGCAGGTCCTTCCTCAGTGTCCCTCCACCAAAGAGCGAAGGGATCCTTACCCAGAGAGGCGACGTTCCCATAGTTCTCCACCATGACATCCCTGTAGAGGGCTCTCTGGTCTGGGTCCAGCAGGCCCCACTCCCCCTCCGTGAAATGCACAGCCACTTCCTCAAAGGTCACAGGCCCCTGGAAGGAAGTGGGGATGGCGGGGAGTCATTCTCACAAAGAGTCCCATGCAAGGTGGAAAACTTTCCACTTCCCTGTATCCCAGGATTGGGGAACCCAGTGCAATTTTTTCTATTAAAAAAATGTTTAGGGGTAGTCTCATTTTGACTCAAGAAAATCACCATTTTATAGTTCGAATCGGGGGGAAATAAAGACAGTAAATGGACAAAAAGTACAAAGAACATGCATTACTCATATTGAAATATTGCCACTCAACGAGGCCAAACTTTCATCAGTAAAACACCACACATGCACATTCCATACTGCTTCACACATTAAACGCCTGCTTCTGTCTGAGACTCAGGAAACACTGGGAAAGGAAATGAAGCCGCTATCAGGCGTAGCAGCAGAACTGACGATTCACCGTGCTAGAGAAGAAACTAAAAAATTAATTTTTTTTAGTATTTTCTGCCATTAGATTCACAGAAAGTTTAGGGGCATGCATACCCCTGTGTACCCCCAGAAAAAAAACTCACTGGGGGAACCTAAGACTCAAGGGCCAAATGTGGACCTCCAGGGTGTGTGTGTGCAACAAAAGGAAGTCTCTTTGAGGGTCTTTGCCTCACCTGATCGGAATCCATAGTATCTGTTTCTATCTCAGCACAAAATGAAGATGAGCCATGACTTATTTCAGCAAACAGCTCTCCACCTGCAAAGCAGACAACACGATGACAAGACAGTTACCCTCTCAACACATTTAAAACGGGGCACTCGACTCCTGTCATTATTGGTGTGCTAGATAAGAAATAACTCTAAAATGTGTTGAGAGATGTAAAGAAGAAAGAAAGAAAGAAAGAAAGAAAGAAAGAAAGAAAGAAAGAAAACACAAAACATACTTTGATAAGCTGCGAACCTGTTCTGAGCGCACGAAAATTGTTAGAATTATTTATTCAATTTGTAGGATAATAGACTATACAGAACTGGCAAAATTAAGAGAATCTAATGCTGTTTTAAGGAAGAACGGATGCCTTTTCAGACTATTATAAAGAAATATTATAGTATGATGAACCTGTGAGCAGGATTTGAGCTATGAGCTACAGAAGCAATTAGATTATTATACTGTAGTTATGATTTAATAGATAGACGATAAAGTGCAAAAGGGGAGAAGCAAGCACATGGAAAATGGGGTGAGAAGTTGATAAAAGTAAGAGAAAGGATGAAATTTTGTTATGACTGTGTATGTTAAAAACACTGTAACTTAATAAAATGTAATCAAATAATAATAATTTGCATACCGCCCTTCATCCAAAGATCACAGGGCGGTTCACAACATAAAAAGGTATTCTCATGTATGCAACTTAACAACATACTCCATTTATTCTAATTCAATCACTAAACTATATCTTTCACCTGGAATGAGGAGTGGCACTCAAAGTGAACAATTAATTGCTCAATTTTACCAGAACAAAGTGGTTGGGATGATCCCAATGACAAAACTATGCTTACTCTTCTGGATTAACACACGGTCTCTCTCCACTGTGCTAATGCTCAATGTTTCGTTAAGGATTTTCCATTAAAAGAACAAAGGAAGGCATCGCTTTCCAGTCCATCGTGCTTGAACTGAAAGGCTTTCAGAAGTAAGGATAACTAAAAAGTTTGGATTGCAAGGACAATTGTTAGCACTCACCCATCAAGTCAGAATTGGAAAAACATTCTGGTCCGCAGTACAAATGTTAACCGCAGTTTTTTGATTCACTGCCACAGGTTTAAGGTTTTTAAAATAGTGACTAGGCTCTTGAATTATGGTGTAAGGTAAAGGTAACAAAACCCTTATATTGTTGCTGCTGAATCGTATATTGAATTCCTAAGACAGCAACACAAGGAGCTATAGAAGATGTCACTTTGCTATGATGGTTAAATTAACATCTTATTTAAGAGCAGGAGCCTCAAGCGACAGAAAGAATACATTTTGGGAAAGTTGGTCCAACCTTCCAAAATATATAGGTGATCCATAGGGACCTTCAAGCACCAGAAATCCTTACCAGGAAAATCTGTGTCGCCATCATTTTCGTGCGCCGTCACTCTGAACAGGGGCCTCTGCAAAATGTCTGATGGAGCCCCTGCCTGGGGGGAGTCAGCAGCCACATCCATGAATGCCACCTGCACACAGAACAAAGAGAGGGGACCCCCCCCAAGTCAGGAAAATAAAAGGGGCCAGCTCTTCACACATAAGCCTGACTCCAGTCTTCCAACGGTGGCCCAGATCCTGAAACAACTGCCAGCAGTGACACATTTATTGGGCATGCAGGGCCTTCTCTGTGGAACCACCCAAAATAACACAAAGAATTGCAAGATGCCCCAAAAGGATCTCTCTGAAGTCGGTGATCAGGAAACGGAGATTGAGATCAGGAAACTGGCAGCAAACTGTCTCAAAGCCTTAAGTTTTCTGCTTTCAAATGTTGCTGCCCTGGGCTGGCTCTTCCTGGCTGGCTTCCCAGTAACCAATTCCCTTCCTTCCCACCACTTTCATTAATTGTTCACCCTAAACCAATGGTTTGTAATATTGTTAAATTCAGAACAAAATTGATCTAAAAATAAAAGTTTTTTTTAAATCAGCCTTACTTCATTTGGTACCATTAGCAGTATTAAGCACTTTCAGAAAATCATTTTAAAATATTTGACTGCTGTTTTACACTGTTTTGCTTAACAGTGGAGACTCCTGCCACAGTGAAACATTTGAGAATCGCCCGACTTAGATGACCAGCATACCTGTTAAAGGTAAAGGTAAAGGGACCCCTGACCATTAGGTCCAGTCGTGGCTGACTCTGGGGTTGCGGCGCTCATCTCGCTTTATTGGCCGAGGGAGCCGGCGTACAGCTTCCGGGTCATGTGGCCAGCATGACTAAACTGCTTCTGGTGAACCAGAGCAGCGCACGGGAATGTTGTTTACCTTCCCGCCAGAGCAGTACCTATTTATCTACTTGTTACCAGTGCTTTTTTTCTGGGAGGACGTAGGGGTACACATACCCCCTAAACATTTTGTGAATCTAACGGGAGAAGAAACAATTTTTTTTTAAAAAAATTAAGTTTCTTCTCTAGCACGGTGAATCGCCAGTTCCATTGCTACCCCTGATGGCGGCCTTTTGTCCATTGACTGTATTTATTTTCCCCGATTTGAACTACCGTATTTTTCGCACCATAGGGCGCACCAGACCATAGGGCGCACCCAGTTTTTAGGGGGGGAAATCAAGAAAAAAAATCTCCCCCCCCCCAGTCCCAAAGAGCAGCGTACAGGCTGCGCACAACCTCTCCCTGCCGGAGGGGTTGCGCGCAGCTATGGCACAAGCCAAGGCAGTGAGCAGGATGGATCCCGCTCGCTGTTTTGGCTTCCCCTTTAGCCCTGTGCAGCCTCTCCCTCCCGGGAGACGCTGCGTGGGGCTAAAGAATCCATAGCCCCGTGCAGCCTCTCCTTGCCGGAGGGGTTGCATGCAGCTATGGAGCAAGCCAAGGCAGCGAGCTGGATGGATCCCGCTCGCTGTTTTGGCTTCCCCTTTAGCCCCGTGCAGCCTCTCCTTGCCGGGAGACGCTGCACAGGGCTTTCCTGGCTTTCCTGGGAGGTGGGGGGATTCCCTCACCTCTTGCAAAAGCCGCGCAACCCCTTTAAAGAGATCGCGGCTTCTCCTGGCTTTTCTGGGAGGTGGGAGAAGGGACTGATGCGGCCAGTCAGTCCCTTCTCCCTCCTGTGGAAAAGCCCACAAGAGCGCACAGAGCTTGTGTGCACCTCTTGGGGGCTTTTCCTGCCTGCCTCCCCCCTGCATTCGCTCCATAGGACGCACACACATTTTCCCTTGCTTTTTAGTAGGGAAAAAGTGAATCCTATGGTGCGAAAAATACGGTATAAAATGGTTTTCTTGAGTCAAAATGAGAGTACCCCTAAACATTTTTTTAAAGAAAGAATGCACTACTTGTCACCCACCTGCGGCACCAGATAATCACTTGGAAAAATACCAGGATGCAACTCGCTCACCTGATCATCCTCTTCTTGCTTCTTCATGAGGAAATCTTTGGCCAGGCCAGTGGTTGGGATACAAGCCTCTCCGTCACTCAACCTCGCCACGAAGCTCTGCATTTCTTCAGCTAGGGGTTGTTCCTTCGTGGGCCAAGTCGAATTCAGCATCCGTTGTGGAGGCGCGTCTAAGGGGATCACATCCTCCTCGCTCAGGACAACTGCTGCTCCATTTCTTTCCCAGCATCCTCTACTGCTCCCAGCCTGGGCGGCAGACGGGTCCACGGCCACCGCTTTGGGGCCGACCATGTCTTGCGAGTCTTCTGTCTTCACTTGGTGCTCCAGCGCGGCCTCCAACTGAAGACCGACAGTCAACGGGTCTCCTTGTTCTGCTCTCATCCTCTCTCGTTTCTTGGGGGAAAGGCCGAATTTGGAGGGGAGCAGGAGGAGGTCGGATGCTACGCCGTGGGCCCGCAAAAGTTCACAGGCTGCTGTTCTGCCACACTGCCAAATGAGGCAGTCACATCACATCAGAAAGGCAAAACTGAAGGGTTCCAGAAAGCCATTGGGTCTCAGCGCTACAGGAAAGGGAGAGAAAAGCCAAGGATGAAAATAACAGAGAAGAACAAAAAGGGTGTTTAAGCATCTTCCCATCAGTCATTCATTCGGTAGTGGCGCCCTCCCTGTGGAACGCCCTCCCACCAGATGTCCAAGAGAACAACAACTACCAGACTTTTAGAAGACATCTGAAGGCAGCCCTGTTTAGGGAAGCTTTTAATGTTTGATGTATTACAGTATTTTAATATTATTTTTGGAAGCTGCCCAGAGTGGCTGGGGAAGCCCAGCCAGATGGGCGGGGTATAAATAATAAATTATTATTATTATTATTATTATTATTATTATTATTATTATTCATCCCACACTTTCCCATGCGTTTCACTGTCACTTTCCTAACTGCAAAATGTGGGTGTTTTTGAAAAAGCAGGTTTGCTGGAACAGAGCATTTTGAAGGAATAATAATAATAATTTTACTATTTATACCCCGCCCATCCAGCTAAGGCAGCCCCAGCCACTCTAAAACCTAAATTTCCAGCATGCAGTAGAATCCCTGCAGCAAAATACTGTTCAGTGCATTTTCCTGTCACTTTCCTAACTGCAAAAAGTCGATTTCTTTTTTTAAGTGCATTTTATTGCAACAGAGAGAACACCTTAACTGCACATGACCTAATTTTCTGTAATGTGCTTGAATCCCTCCGGCAAAACACTGGCAGGGAGGAGACCTATAACACTTGGGATAATTATTTTTAAAAGGTGAGGTAAGGACTTCTGTTTTGCCCAAAGCTGTAGCCACATACATGCCTACTTCTGAGGAAACACACACAAGACTAGGCTGAAACTCATTGGCAATACTGGCTTCTAGTCAGCTGCTGAGCTATGTTCAATGTGCTGCTTTTGGCATATAAAACCCTATAGCTAGAAGATCGTATCACTCCCTATATACCCAACTTTGCACTGCACTCTGCAGGAGGGGGAATCCTGCAAATGCCGTCCTATCAGGAGGTCCATCCTGCACAATATTGTGATATTGGGCCTTTAGTATACCTGAAGAGTGTCTCCACCCCCACTGTTCAGCCCGGACACCGAAGTCCAGCACCAAGGGCCTTCTAGCGGTTCCCTCCCTGCAAGAAGTGAGGTTACAGGGAACCAGGCAGAGGGCCTTCTCGATAGTGGCTCCTGCCCTGTGGAACTCCCTCCCATCAGATGTCAAGGAAATAAACAACTATCTGACTTTAAGAATGCATCTGAAGGCAGCTCTGTTTAGGGAAGTTTTTAATGTTTGATGTTTTATTGTGTTTTTAATATTATGTTGTGAGCTGCCCAGAGTGGCTGGGGAAACCCAGTTAGATGGACGGGGTATAAATAAATTTATTATTATTATTATTATTATTATTATTATTATTATTATTATTATTATTATATTGTGGAACGTACCCTTTGGATTTCCCCCCTCTCAAATATTAGACAGGTGTCGTCTCTGTTTCCTACTGAAGACCATCTTCTTCCAACAAGCCGATTAAGCAGAGATCCCCCTGACCTGCATCAGTATGGGAATTGTTTTCAGTATGTTTTTTTAAATAAAATAAAATTTATTAATGTTATATTAATGAAAACAAATAACATATTAATCCTAGGGAAAAATGATTAAGTTTTGCTTTTTATGTTGTGGTCAACTTACTTACTGTGCCTCCCTGGTTCTGAAAACTGGTGCAAGACAGGTTCCTGCACATTGTTGTATTATTAAAATTGAATAAATAAATAATTCATTTTAAAAAGGCAGGCTACCGCAGGTCGCAAATGAATTCACTGGACAGTTAGCAGAGAAGAGTTTGGCAATTTGTTCTTGTTGCTATTATCAGGACCCGTTCAAAAGCACTGCAGTGTGGAATGCAAGCCGGTCCGTGCCCTTTCTCAGAATATTCCATTCCGTTCCTCCCTCCCAGTTTTCCCTTCCTTCTCACAACAACCACCGAGAGGCCTCAGTAACCCTTGAATTAACTGGGGCTTTCCCTTAATTTCACCCCCCTAAGTACAGTGGTACCTTGGGTTAAGTACTTAATTCGTTCCGGAGGTCCATTCTTAACCCGAAACTGTTCTTAACCTGAGGTACCACTTTAGCTAATGGGGCCTCCTGCTGCCGCCACGCCGCTAGAGCACGATCTCTGTTCTCATCCTGAAGCAAAGTTCTTAACCCAAGGTACTATTTCTGGGTTAGCAGAGTCTGTAACCTGAAGCGTCTGTAACCCGAGGTACCACTGTATATTTTTCTGCTCATGCAAACTTTTGGGGTCCCCGCCCCCACCGCGGCCTGCTGCTCCCGACCTCTTGGGAGCCGTTTTGCCCATGTAAGGATTTGAGAGTCCCACCGGTACAGATAATTATTAAACATTTATATTCCACTGGCAAAGCACCTGGGGGGGCTGCTTCCATGAGGCTCAGAACGAGTGTGCAAAACTAGTCCTTCCTTTTGCTTGTCTACCAACAATCGGTTTCATTAGCATCCTAAAATTCTAGAATTAGAAGGGAGGGAAGGAAAACTTTTTGTGACCCACTTTTTGTGACCCACCCTGCATAATCTTACATGCCCCCTCTTACTTTCCCTTTTCTCTATAAACAATGCCCCCCCCCCAAAACGCTGCAACCTTTTCATCATATGCTCCAACCCCCTTGATCATTTTGGACAACTTTTTCTGAACCTTTCCACAGCTCTGCAATCTCCCGTTTATTTGGTTTTCAGGTGCGGCGGCCAGATGGATAGGGAAAGTGACCTCAGATGGATGGGGAAAGTGACCTCAACGGCCGCCCTCCTTGCCTTGGGGGTCAAACCGGGGTGTGTTTTCCTTGCCCCTCCCCTTTCCACACTCTCACAATTGAAAACTGCCTTCTCCCCTTTTTTCTTTTTTTTTGGGGGAGGCTCCCCAAAATCCCACCCCACCCACCAAATTAAAAGGCCAAGCTTGCTTCCATCTGCCCCAACTGGGGAGGAGGATGAAGAAGGGGGGGGAGGAGAAAGGGAGCAAATGTGGCAAATTATTGGACACCCCCTTGAGTTTCATGACAACTCTCGTGCTGCAAATGTCCCCGGCCCCGCTCTCTTTAATCTACCCATGCACACTTTTGCAAGAAACTCACCAGATCCCCTCCAGCCATGGACATCACAGCCTGGATCTTACCCACAGTGGCTGGGGGAGGGTTTTTTGGAGGGGGGTGGGGAGAGAGAGAGAGAGAGAGAGAAGGAGAGAGAGAGATGAAAAGCAGGAAGTGACTTAAAGCAGTTTACAGCCCTCCTTCCTCAAAGGTATCCTAGGAATAGAGACTCGGTCAGCTTAACCCTTAGAGAAGCATTTCAGATGTATTGCAAAGGCAAAACACACACAGACAAGCAAACACATCACTACACTTTGAGGGCTAGTCTGATGCACACGCACACGCGCACGCACACACACACACACACACACACACACACACACCTGGGTACTCTAAAGGACAGCTCTGTTTTCCTGCAAACACACCATACGGAAAAGACAGCGCCTGCACACTGTCCCTTTAAAGCAGATACCAAATTGCTGTTTTCCTCTCAAAGAATTCTGGGAGCTGTAGTTTGCTGGGAATTGTGGCTCCGCCCCGGTTAAAACTACAGGGCCCAGAATTCTTTCAGAGGGAAGGATGTGTTTCGAAGGTGCTTTAAAAGCCACAGAGCCATAAAGAGCTTTCAAAGCCCGACCTGACCGTGACCAGAAGGAGGAGTGCCAGGAAGAATGGATGAAATTTAATGGCTATTTAGTTAAAATACGTTAAGTTAAATTAATTGGAAAAAGCTTGCAATAGCCAGATAGGCTTAGGATTTAAATATGTAAAATGATGGATTAATATGTTTAACGCTGAATGAATAAGAAAGAAACATGTTAAGTGATTAAGTTAATTATATAAGAATTTGGAAAACCGTTAAAATGCTATACATTGAAATTCAACTAGGGGGATATGAGGAAGTCACTTAACCATGTTAATAAGATTAGTTTAAATAAGGTTATGATTTATGTTAAAATAAGGTTATGATTTATGTTAGTATATTTGTTGGTTTATAATTTTGTGAAAATCAATAAAAAATTGGGGGGGGGGAATCATGGGGACCTGTTGTTTGTAGACGACACCCCCCCCCCCGAGCTTCACATTCAAAATAAACATTTCCTTGCATTACACCAAATATTTTACTGATAAGAAATACACTGGGAAACAAAACAACTCCTAGCTGTGCTTGATTCATAACATAAAACACAGCTACCATATAATATCACCGGAGGATATCCAGGCAGTATAAAACAAAGCAGCTACGTAAAACCACTGCTCCTTCCCAATGTAGACCCCCCCATTAATACATTTATACATAGATATTACGGATATACAAACTGTTGTAAACAAAATCTGCCCTTTTTCCCTTATGGGGTATCCAAGAGTCCTTACATAGGTTCCCTATTGGTAGGAGAAAATAACAGGCCAACCAACCAAACAAAGAAACATTCATTTCAGACAATCTTTAAAAATATTCATACATACCCACACTCAGTCCCACCACCGCCCCTCACCCCCACCCTGTGCGTAACAGAATGTGTAACAGAAAAAGAAGTAGAAAGCTGGTTTAATAGTGTGTGAAAGAAAGTAATAGAAATGGAAAGAAAATGCAATTGAGTAGATTGGAAGTACAATGTAGAATATTGATAGGCCTTGCATCTTCCTGCCACCCTTGCCATCCTCTCCTGCCACAGCCTTTGAAAACCACTGGAACACTATATGAAGCTATGCACCTCAGGTATCAAAGGACAGAATACCGTATTTTTCGCTCTATAAGACGCACCAGACCACAAGACGCACCTAGTTTTTGGAGGAGGAAAACAAGAAAAAAAAATATTCTGAATCTCAGAAGCCAGGACAGCAAGAGGGATCGCTGCGCAGTGAAAGCAGCAATCCCTCTTGCTGTTCTGGCTTCTGGGATAGCTGCGCAGCCTGCATTCGCTCCATAAGACGCACACACATTTCCCCTTACTTTTTAGGAGGGAAAAAGTGAGTCTTATAGAGCAAAAAATACGAGAGTTTATTATTCTCTCCCCCCCCCAATCCTTTTTTATTGATTTTCCATTTTAAACAAACAAAATACAAACAAAGACAATAAATTTCAAGTGTCGTCCACACACTTCCTTATCCATCACTCTGCCGAGCCATGACTTCCCTCCCTCCATCAGGTTTTCGTTTTCAGTCTACTTCCCGCAGTTTCTTGTTATTTTGTCAAGTCCATATCGTAAGATTTATTTCAGTCCTGCTAGTGTCTTCAGATTTCTACAGTTATTATTTATATAGTCCATGAATTTACTCCAATCCCTTTGGAATTTTGGTTTTGGATCCTGCAGGTTAGTTTTGCTAGTTCTCCATAATCCACCATTCTCGTCTGCCACTCCTCCACCATTGGTAATTCCTGTACTGTACTTTCCATTTTTGGGCAAACAAAGTTCTAGCAACAGTCGTTGCATACATAAATAACCTTTGATCCGCTTTTTCAGTTTCCTCTCCCATCAAGCCCAGCAAAAAAGGCTTCTGACTTTTTTGGGAAGGTATATTTAAGCATCTTTTTCAATTCGTTGCAAATCAGTTCCCAAAATGATTTTGTTTTCTCACATGACCACCACATGTGATAAAAATCACCATCCTTCTCTTTACATTTCCAACATAATTTACTACTCATCCTATATGTCTTTGCCAATTTCGTAGGTGTCAAGTACCAACGGTACATCATTTTCCTTATATTCTCTTTCAAGGTGGCACATGCTGTAAATTTTAGACTCTCGTTCCACCATCTCACCTACGCTTCGTACTTGATATTGTACCCAAAATCTATTATTTATTCTCCCTGTACTTTGCACCAGTTTACTTCTCAACCCAGCCGACCCCACAGGGTTGTTGTGAAGATAAACGTAAAGTGAAGAGCTGCCCATCAGGAAGGGTGGAGTCAAAATGCAATTAATTGTTAATAAATAAATGTGTATATATATATGGACTGCAAAATCTCATCATGCTTCTGCCACCTCCAGGTGTATGTGGGACTCCAACTCACATCAGTCCCAGACAGCAAGGTCAATGGTCATGGATTATGGGAACTGTAGTCCAGCAACATCTTGAGGACCACAGGTTCCATCACCCCTGCTCTAAGGAGTTCTGGGCAATGTTGCAGGAGTCCCTTACTCTGCCAATTCTATTCCCAATAACAATTCTATGAAAAAACTGAGGCCTATAGAAAGTGACTAGCCCAAGCCTAGTCAGGTAACTATGTTGTTGTTGTTGTTTAGTCATTTAGTCGTGTCTGACTCTTCGTGACCCCATGGACCAGAGCACGCCAGGCACTCTTCGTCAAACTCATGCTGGTAGCTTCAAGAACACTGTCCAACCATCTCGTCCTCTGTCGGCCCCTTCTCCTTGTGCCCTCCATCTTTCCCAACATCAGGGTCTTTCTCTTCTCATGAGGTGGCCAAAGTATTGGAGCCTCAGCTCCAATACTCAAGAGTCTCCTCCAGCACCATAATTCAAAAGCGTCAATTCTTCGGCGATCAGCCTTCTTTATGGTCCAGCTCTCACTTCCATACATCACTACTGGGAAAACCATGGCTTTAACTATACGGACCTTTGTTGGCAAGGTGATGACTCTGCTTTTTAAGATGCTGTCTAGGTTTGTCATGTGAATGAGCAGAAAATTGAACTCAGTGTCATGTTGGGCAAACTCTAGCACTAAGCCCTCATCAGTCTTAATAATAGTAGTAGTAGTAATAATAATAATAATAATATATTCTAGGTTGCATTTTAGGGCCAAGCCCACCCAAGGGAGCTTGCAGGAAAACCAGCTGTAAAACACCAAAGCACATTTAGCATATTTAGCAAATTTATATGCCATTCCACAGCGTGAAGTCACAGAAGTGTTGTGTGATATAAAAGCGGAACTTAAAATAGCAGCCTAAAATAATATAAATGGCCCTAATATAAACAGCCTAAAAGAATAAAAATAATATGAAGATAAATAACAGAATATAAAATAGAAATAATATAAACAGTCTAAAATAAGACAAAGCAGTCTAAAAACAAATTTCAAATCAACAGCAGCACTACATGTTAATTTTTTTAAAAGAAAAAGCCGCCTTCAATATGTAGGTATTCAAAGTCCACTTAAAAGCTTTGGCCCACTTGGTGTTGTTGGACTACAACTCCCATCAGCCTTGACTACAGGCCATATTAGCTGGAGACGCAGTTCAGCAACACTTGGAGGGACAAAAAGTCTGGTCTATACTGATAGGATCATATGCGTATCACTTTGGAGGTTGTTTTGTAAGAGTGGAGCTACCAGCAAGAAGGCTCTGCTTGTTTCTCCCAGAACGCTGATTGATCTTACAGGCAGGATTCTGATCAGGACTTTGGGAAGTTTAGTTCTGTGAGAGAAAACAGGAATCTCCTAACAACACTCAGCACCCTTAACAGACTACAGTTCCCAGGATCCTTTACAGGGAAGCCGTGGCTGTTTAAAGTGACATGTAAAAGGTAAAGGTAAAGGGACCCCTGACCATTAGGTCCAGTCGTGGCCGACTCTGGGGTTGCGGCGCTCATCTCGCTTTATTGGCCGAGGGAGCCGGCGTACAGCTTCCAGGTCATGACTAAGCCACTTCTGGCAAACCAGAGCAGCTCACGAAAATGCCATTTACCTTCCCGCCAGAGCGGTACCTATTTATCTACTTGCACTTTTGGAGTGCTTTCGAACTGCTAGGTTGGCAGGAGCAGGGACCGAGCAACAGGAGCTCACCCGTCGCAGTGATTCGAACCTCCGGCCTTCTGATCGGCAAGCCCTAGGCTCTGTGGTTTAACCCCCCATTTTTATTGCTTTTTGTTTGGTTGTTGTGGATTTTCTACATTGTGAAACTTAATAAAATATTATTATATATTTAAAAAAAAATAACCCACAGCGCCACCCATGTCCCTTAAAGTGACATGATATGGCTCTAAATGTATAGTGCAGGTGGGGCTGAAGGCTGCCCTCCTACACAACAAAGGTGGAGAAACTGTTGGCAGAGAATGAAAACCTTAGTCTCAGGGTTGTGGGTTCAAGCCCCACGTTGGGCAAAATATTTCTGCATTGCAGGGGGTTAGACTAGATGACCCTCAGGGTTCCTTCAAAACTCTACAGTTCTATGATTCTATAACCTGCGTCCCTCCCGATGTTGGCGGACTCCATCTCCCATCATCCCTGGCCCACTGGCAATACAGAAAGTCCCGCAACTACTGGAGGAAAACACCACAGCTTCCCCCTACATTTAAATACCCCACAAGTGCTGGTGGTGAAAACTTGTGGCCTTCCAGATTTTTGTTGGACTCCAACACCCATCAGTCCCAGCCAGCATGGCCAGAGGACAAGGATGATGGGAGTTGTAGTCCAGTCCTATCAGGGAGCGTCGCAGGTTCCCCAACCCTGTGAAGTCCATTCACTTACCTGGGAATAAGTCCCACTGCGCTCACTGGGGCTTACATCTGAATAGACTTCTAATCATAGAATCGTAGAGCTAAAAGGGACCCTGGGGTCATCTAGCTCAACCCCCTTGCAGTGCAGGAATCTTTTGGCTAAGGTGATGCTTGAACCTGCAACCTTGGCATTATCAGCACCGGGCTCTGACCAAGTGAGCTATCCAGGCTGCACTTTGAGGTTTACTCACCCAAACTCCTCTAAGAATCCGATCTGGCTGAGAGACCGCTCCAAATCCCCCTGGAGGATTCAGCTGGGCTTCTCTCCTCCTTTCTTTCTTCCTTTCTTCCTCCATCTGGACCCCTCATTCTTCCCTCCTTCTGACCAGCCACCTCCTCCTGCTCCTCCTGGTTAAGGAAAGAAATGGATACAACAGCAGAAGCCACGAACCCCCAGCCCCTTTGCATGCATTTTAATACCCAAATTGCTATAAAACAACCCAAACAGGCAAGAGGAAGGAGAGGCACACAAGCACACTTTGGCTCTGGAATGGTTAAGGGGCCAGAGCTCTCGTTCCTAGAGAGGCAGGAAATGGAGGGCCACATGGGGGGTGCTGCTGTCCAAAGTGGAGGACCTTCCTCCTCTGCCCAGCTGAGCTCCTGAATCCTCTGCAGGCTGACTGCAATTTGTTTCTTGGGGGGAGCCTGTAAGTAGAAGGTGCATTTGGCTGGGGGGCAGAAAAGGGGCATTTGGGGGAGAAGAGCAGGAGATTCCAAGCTGAGGAGTTAGCAAAAGGCAGGGAAACACATGTTGGAATTGGGAATGGGGGAAGCAGTTTGTGCCAGAGTCAGACCACTAGTCCATCCAGCCCCAAGGCTGCTGCCTCCTTTCACGGGCAGAGGATCTCCCAAATTTCCGAAGCTTCTAGTAGCTGGGAGCTTCCCAGTTTGAGATGTTGCCTGGCATTTTCTGCCTGCAAAGTGAACACAGAAATCAGCCTCCTACGGAGTCGGACAACTGGCTCTGTCTCGCTCAGCATTCCCTACACTGACCGGCAGCAGCACTTCAAGGTTTCAGGCAGGAAGCCTTTACTAGCAGCACTTGGAGATTCTAGGGGGTTAAACCTTATGCATGCCAAGCAACTGTCCTGCCCACACTTCTGCAAACCTTGCGGCTCCCTGGAGCCTCCCGACAGCTCGCTCTTCCGTCTGGGTGGAACTGTTTTGGCCCCATAACAAACAGCGCAAGGAGAATCGAGATTGTTGTCTGTGTCAGGATGGGGAGCCTTTTCTGGGCAGCCTTTCGAGGGCCACACGTCAGCAGGAGGCAGCGCTAGAGACAAAAGCAACAGAGCAACAAGTGTAAATGCTGCTGTCACAAAGTAAATGTAAAGTAAAGAGAACCCTGACCATTAGGTCCAGTTGTGGCCGACTCTGGGGTTGCGGCGCTCATCTTGCTTTATTGGCCGAGGGAGCCAGCGTACAGCTTCCAGGTCATGTGGCCAGCATGACTAAGCCACTTCTGGCGAACCAGGGCAGCGCACCTTCCCACCGGAGCAGTACCTATTTATCTACTTGCACTTTGACGTGCTTTTGAACTGCTAGGTTGGCAGGAGCAGGGACTGGACAGCTGGAGCTCACCCCGTCACGGGGATTCGAACCGCTGACCTTCTGATCGGCAAGTCCCAGGCTCTGTGGTTTAACCCACAGCGCCACTCGCATCCCCACAGTAAGCTAGTTTCTATTCACACTCTCCTCTCTGTCCTCAATCTAGCCAAGCAAAGAGGTGCTGTCAGAGTTCAGGGGCACATTCCAGCCAGGCGAAAATGCCCAGGAATGGGGCCAAAGCAAGACTGTTGAGGGTGTGGCCTGGGTAGAGGGGGTGTGGCCTTGGGAAGGTTCTGAGGGCCAGATAGAGAGAGCCCCGGGGGCCATATTCAGCCTGAGGTCCATGATGCAACACACTCTGCGTTCTGCATGTTTCATTCCTCCAGGGTGAAGTGTTTTGGGGGAGAGAGCTGCTGCCCACCAGTGACATCTCCTTGTGTGCCAACAGAACAGAGCAACAGGCAGGCCACTTCCCTGCTTCTCTAAGAAGCGATGGAGGGCCCAGACTAAGCTGGGTCCACAGGGAACCATCCTCTCTCCCGAGTCGCCAGCTCCGGAGACACAAAGCCAGAGAAGAGATGGATGCTGGAGAGCCAGCCATTTCCAAGCCAGAGGCCAGCGCAGAGAAAGGCACAGGAGATGCCTCCCCTATCGTCCAAGTGGAGGCAGATGGGCAGTTTCCAAAATGGCCGTTGCTGAAACGTGCTAAAGGGGAGCAGGACAAGGGGCTGCTACAGCAGAGCTGGCAAGCCCAGTGGAAAGACTTCCTCCGAGTGGTTCAGCCCCACAACTCCAGCATAGAGAGCCCACAGCCACCGTGGGGGGACACCAAATTATCTTTTATCCACACCGAGAGACCCACAACTGCCGGCCCGCAGGCTGGATGTGATGAGCGCATACTTTGTGGGCTGGCTGAGGATATGTATGGCTCGCCAGATCCTAGAGACAGAGAGGATTATGGGGAAGTGGAGGGAGATGGCCAACATGCCCTCAGCACAGACGGAGAACGCTGGCTTTTCCGGCGGTTCTCCTACAGGGAGGCAGAGGGGCCCAGGGAATCGTACAGACAGCTCCACAAACATTGCCATCGGTGGCTCAAGCCAGAGAAGCGGACAAAGGAGCAGATCTTGGAGCTGTTGATCCTGGAGCAGTTTCTGGCTGTCCTGCCCGTTGGAAATGCAGAAGTGGGTGGGTTGCCCTGAGACCTGCAGCCGGGCGGTGGCTCTTGCAGAGGATTTTCTGCTGAGGCGAGGAGAGGCCAAGACACAGGAAGAACAGGTGAGGAGTGTTTTTCAGGCTGTCCTGTGAAAGGCAGGGCAAAGAATATCTGACTTTTAGAAGACATCTGAGCTTTTAATGGTTGACATTTTACTGTTTTTATATACACTGGCATCTTGGTACTCAAACGGCTTCGCCCCCAAACAAATCGGCTCCTGAATGCTGCAAACCTGGAAGTAAGTGTTCCAGTTTGCGAACGTTTTTTGGAAGCTGAATGTCCGATGTGTCTTCCGCGGCTTCCGCTTGAGTGCAGGAAGCTCCTGCAGCTAATCGGAAGCCGTGTCTTGGTTTTCAAACTGTTTCGGTAGTCAAATGGATTCCCGGAACAGATTAAGTTCAAGAACCAAGGTACCACTCTATGTTGGAAGCTACGCAGAATGGCTGGGGAAACCCAGTCAGATGGGTGGGGTACAAATAAATTATTATTATTATTATTATTAAGCTAGTATAGGTGTAGAAAACTGACTTTTGTGTGGATGTAAGGTAGGATTCTGTACAAAATGAAAAAGGTCACATCTGCTTCCCCAGCTGCTTTTGTCTCTGGCCCTGTCCATCCTAAGCATTTGGCCCCCAGAGAGTTGACCATGTGGGAATGTGCCCACATCAAGACTGGAAAAGGTTTCCTCCTGCCCCTCCATTAGGAGAAACTGCCTCACCGTAGGAGCTTTCGTTGCAGTTTGCAATTTGGGAATTTGCTGTCCTTTGGTGACGAAGAAGAAGGGGGAAAAGTGTTCACTGTTCTTTCAGGAGCTGGGCCTAATCCAGGAGGTGGCGGTGAGCTTTGCAGAGGCCGAGCGAACTGTGTCCGAAACTGCTCCGAGGCGTCTCATCAGAGAGGCTGGGAAGGGGAAGGAGAACAGTTTGCCAGGTAGGGATTACCTGAGCTTGAGGTTTGTGGAGGTACACCTGCCCCTGCCTTAATAATATTCAGAAGGAATTTGAAAACAATCCTGTTTATGCAGGCAGCTGAGGGCTGAGGGATTTTTCCAGGCAACCCAGTGATTATTATTTTACTATTATTCATTTTGCTTCTATACTGCTTCATATTTTTAAGAGGAAAAAAATCTCAAAGCTGTTTGCAAACTGCATTAAAACATAAAGCAACCCAGAAGAAAAACATTACAGAAGGAAGTCAAACATACATTCAAAGCAAGCTAATTAACAGGAAACTAAAATGTTATCTTAAAGATTTCAAAATGAAACGTTACAAAGGGTGTAGGTCAGCTACAGAATGCACATTTACCATAGCAAAGTTAACAAACAAAATTTTAGCATTCCAAAAGAAAACATTATTAAGGGAAGTCAAATATAAAATGTGCATTTCATACAGCATAATTAGCAGGGGGGGGGAATATTAATCAGAAACACAGAAGGTACCTGCCACCTTTGTTGGCGATCCTTCCAATGGTGGTTCACGGCAGGAGGTGGTTTGGGAAACTCAGGCTCCATGACCTGGAGCACCAAGAGCAGCCAAGATGGTCTCTGGCCTCTTCTGCAGCCTCTGCTTTTGTAGTTGGAGTCAGTCAGGCCCCGCCCTCCCAAGTAGGTGGGGAAAGGCCAGCAAGGCAGGGAGCAGGACCTCCAGGACTCACAGCCGATATAACTGTTTTTTGGACTTTTAAATGCTTTTAAAACTGTTTTTGCAAAATGTTTTATTATTGACGTGTTTGCCGCCCTGCACTCCCTTCAGGAGTAAAGATGGGATATAAATTGAATTATTATTAGTATTATCAGGGATGGGGGAGGCGCCGTCGTCTAAACCACTGAGCCTCTTGGGCTTGCCGATCAGAAGGTCAACAGTTTGAATCCCCTCGACGGAGTGAGCTCCCGTTGCTTTGTCCCAGCTCCTGCCAACCTAGCAGTTTGAAAGCACACCAGTGCAAGTAGATAAATAGGTACCGCTGCAGCGGGAAGGTAAATGGCATTTCCGTGTGCTCTGGTTTCCGTCACAGTGTCCCATTGTGCCAGAAGCGGTTTAGTCATGCTGGCCACATGACCCAGAAAGCTGTCTGTGGTCAAATGCCAACTCCCTTTGCCTGAAAGCAAGATGAGCACCGCAACCCCATAAGCATAGCTGTCAACTTTTCCCTTTTCTTGCAAGGAATCCTATTTGGAATAAGGGAATTTCCCTTTAAAAAAGGGGAAAGTTGACAGCTATGCCCATAAGTCACCTTTGATTGGACTTAACCATTCGGAGGTCCGTTATATCGGCTGTGGGTCCTTTTGCCTACCTATTATTGGTACAGTGGTACTTCGGGTTACATGCGCTTCAGGTTACATACGCTTCAGTTTACACACTCCGCTAACCCAGAAATAGTGCTTCAGGTTAAGAACTTTGCTTCAGGATGAGAACAGAAATCGTGCTCCGGCAGCGCAGCAGCAGCAGGAGGCCCCATTAGCTAAAGTGGTGCTTCAGGTTAAGAACAGTTTCAGGTTAAGAACGGACCTCCAGAACAAATTAAGTACTTAACCCGAGGTACCACTGTACTATTAATATTAGTATTTCCATTTCCCTGAATAAATAGGTCCATTCATTTGGTCCGTTCACTCTTTTGAGCCTTCCTTTCTCCTCTCATGTTCTTATCGCAGCTCTCTTTTCCCCCTTTTTTTCAGGTGGTGATGTCTGGATGAGTGACAGCGATGGGGAGCCACAGCGGATGTGGTCCAAAAGAGCCCGTAGTCTAGAGCTGGAACAGAGTTTTTTAAGTGATGGTGGATCCAAGAGAGACAATGGAAGGGGAGACTGGAGGAGGGAAGCCACTGCAGGCCCAGAAGGCTCAACCTGCGAAATAGTCCCGCAACAACAGATACGCAAAGGAAAGGGAAGGAGTTTGTGCACTTTGTGTGAGAAAAGCTTCAGCACTAAATCGAGTTTTAATAGGCACCAGAGGATTCACACAGGAGAGAAACCGTACAAGTGCTTGGACTGCCAAGAAAGCTTTCTTGCCAGATCCAACCTCATTAGGCATCAGAGGATCCACTCGGGAGAGAAGCCGTACAAGTGCTCGGACTGCGGCATGAAATTCCGCAATAAATCAAGCCTTAATAGACACCAGGGACTGCGGGAAGAGGTTCAGTCGGAGCGCGAACCTCATTACCCATCGGAGGAGCCACACTGGAGAGAAGCCATATAAATGCTCCGGCTGTGGGAAGACATTTAATCAGAGCACGCACCTCATGAGGCACCAGAGGGCGCACCTGAGGGGAAAGCTGTACGAGTGCGCAGACTGTGGGAAGGGGTTTGCTCACGGGACAGCTCTTAACAATCATCAGAGAAGCCACACCGGAGAGAAGCCGTATGAGTGTTTGGACTGCGGCATGAAATTCCGCAATAAATCAAGCCTTAATAGACACCAGGGACTTCATACGGACGGAAAATCGTACTGGTGCCCAGACTGTTGGAAAGGATTCAGTCGCTCTTCGGTACTAGCCAGACATCGGAAAATGCATTTGAGTGAGAAGCCAGGCCCCTGCTCACACTGTGGCAAATCCTTCCTTTTTTAAATTTTTTTTTTAAATCATATTTATTGAAGTTTCCAAAGCTCAAAAAAGAAAAAAGAAAAGAAAAAGAAAAAATAAACCTTTACAATTTAAGCCTTATTTTCATTAACATCTTTCCAGGACTCTCCCATCCCCCTCCCTATTGTATTCCCCTTTCATTAATTTAGTTCCACAAGTTTTTACTCCCAATTTAAAACTTATTTTGTTTAGCCCACTATTCAATTTAGTTATATAACCACTTTCCCTTAACGTTCCACCATCCCTCTTCATTAAAAGAAAATTTTCCCCCAAGGTCCACCCCAATTTCCTTCCACGAATTCCCTTTTTTAATAAACACGTCCACTCAAGATAAAAAATATAAAAAGGTTCAAAAAATAGTTGTACACCCTTTGGATTCCAGATCTCCCCCCACCCTTCCCCAGTTTCGATTCCCCATGTCCATCAGTCTGTCTACTTTCAGCCTGGAGATCTCACATCCATAACCAGTTTTTTCCCTTCCAGTTCCACCTTGCCGGTTTTTGGTTTTTTTTCCCTTTTAATAATATTTAACTTCAGACGCCCAGTCTTAAAGAGGCCTCTGACAGGCCTTTAGTTTCCCCTGGTCTTTCACAATAATATGTCTCTTCCCTTGTTCTTTCCAAGTCGTCGTCAGTCCTTTGTTCTTTTTTTTTCCTTCTCACTTTCTCAGGTTTCTTTTCCTGATCCGCTGCAAAAACGTTCTAATTCAGAAATTTGATACCTCTACAGGGGTTGTTGTTAGTTCAGGAACAAAAACTTGCGTCCAGTCCCTTCCATTCTTCAATAGATAATTCTATTGTCTCCTTTAATATAGACACCTCTGTAGACAAAATACTGTTTCATTTTTGCAGCTTTCCCAGAAGATAACAAGTCCTGTACGATTCCAAGAGTATTTTTCCACTTACGACCGCCCTTGTAATGTCCCAAAACCCCTCTAGGGGGATTATGGTAACTTTGTTTCCTCAAATCCAAAAGTCAAGTTGTTATTCCTTATTTTCGATAATTTATATCCAAATTGTAACAAAACTAACCAGCAAAGTCCTCATAACAAAGTCCTCTTTATATTCTCCAACTTTGACAGCTACTTTGACAGCTGTCAAAGTCTCTGTCTCTCTTCGCCAGGCTCTCTCGCGGATCGCCCCGGTTCCCGGGGGGGTTGCACTTTCACTCCACTCTTCTCCTCCAGCACAGTTCTTATAATTTCCCATCGTGGAATTAATAATTTTTATCAATAAACAGAAGCAAGCTCCTTTCTCGACCTTAGTTACCAAATCCTTGTTTTAAAATGTCTACAATAGGGGGGAGACTGACTTCCTTTTTGGATCTCCCCCGCTCGTGCCGAATCCGGAAAAAAAAAAAAAAATTTCTCCTTTTAAGTCCGATTTCTAAATTACTCACGGGTTGTTGTTTGTAGTCCAAATTTTCAATAGAAGAAGTCAGCGCTCTCCGTCGAATGGCATGCGGCTTCGCTCGGCAGGGAAAGCAAAGGACTCATAGCACCACGCCACCCCCATCCCCCGCTCCGTAGCCTTTAAAAAGGCTTCTTCGCGGGTCGGGGGGCGCTAACGGTGCCCGCCGAGTCAACCATGTCCACGGGCTCCGTGCCCGTGGTTTTTGAGGGTCCCCGCGTCACCGGCGCGGTAGGACCCAACCCCTGCCAAGCAGGCTCCCTCCGGAGCTCGGAGGGAGTCCGCCATTCGGCGATGGCGCCAACCCGGAAGTCCCTGTGGCAAATCCTTCGTTAGCACATCGGACCTTACTGTACACCAGAGAATCCACACAGGAGAGGACGTTGTGTAAATTCCCAAGGGCTGTGGGAGAGAGATTCTTTCAGAAACGTGCACCTTACTAGAAATCAGGGAATTCTCATGGGACAGGGGGCATAAGGCTAGCTCACACAATAGCCTGGGAAGGAGCAGGTACCCAGGGTTGACGCCATGGCATCAATAGTTGCCATTGTCCTTGCCAGTATCTCCAGTGGCACCTGTAAAGGTAAAGGTAAAGGCACCCCTGACCGTTAGGTCCAGTCGTGGCCGACTCTGGGGTTGAGGCACTCATCTTGCTTTATTGGCTGAGGGAGCCGGCATACAGCTTCCGGGTCATGTGGCCAGCATGACTAAGCCACTTCCGGTGAACCAGAATAGCGCACGGAAACGCCATTTACCTTCCCACCGGAGCGGTACCTATTTATCTACTTCCACTTTGACGTGCTTTTTAACTGCTAGGTTGGCAGGAGCAGGGACCGAGCAACAGGAGCTCACTCCGTCGTGGGGATTCGAACCGCCAACCTTCTGATTGGCATGTCCTAGGCTCTGTGGTTTAATCCACAGCGCCACCCGCATCCCCTGTACAAGGTCTCAATAAATATACCCTAAAAAATCCACAATACGCTCCTCCTGCTCAGTTCTTGTTCTCAGTGGCTTGAACACCTCCCCTTAAACATGTCTGCATTTCCATTGAATGCCAGGACCCCAATTTCCATTATGAACTGAGGAGAGGCGCCAAAAGCTTCTCTCTATGAGAAAGTGTGGCAGCGGCTAATTTGGGTTCCTTTCAACCCATTGATACTGGGGGCAGGGACATTTTCTTTTTTTTTCAGGTGTGGCAGCCATTTTGTCATCGTCCCCCGCCATGTAATGCTACCCACAGATACGTGGCAGCCATTTTGTGTCATGCCACACACTCTACGGCAGCCATTTTGTGACTGGCACTCATGGCGTTTTCTCAAAATTCCAAAGATGCCCACTAGTGAAAAAATATGATCAGAAATGGCCAGAGGCCTGTAGCTGCTAACAGTTTTCAGTTCTGGCAGCTGCTATGGGCGACTCTGGAAAAGCCCTGCTAGTTTCTTACCAGCCTCCAGGAAGGCGATGATCCAAAGATTTGGCAGAATACAGGGGTACCTCAGGTTACATACGCTTCAGGTTACATACGCTTCAGGTTACAGACTCCGCTAACCCAGAAATAGTGCTTCAGGTTAAGAACTTTGCTTCAGGATGAGAACAGAAATCGTGCTCTGGCGGCGCAGCAGCAGCAGGAGGCCCCATTAGCTAAAGTGGTGCTTCAGGTTAAGAACAGTTTCAGGTTAAGTACGGACCTCTGGAATGAATTAAGTACTTAACCTGAGGTACCACTGTATTTGGGAAGAGAATAGAAGAGGGCACCATTTGTGGAGCAGAAATGAAAAGTGGTTTGGGGGAGTCACTCCGTTCTTTTATCTCTATGGTGCCCTGCCTTTTTTATTGGTATAGGTTATTCCACACATGGGTCGCTTGTGGCCAGCTTACAGCTTTGGGACCCATTATTGAGCGACTCTTATCTTTCCTGTCTCCATGGCTCAGAGTCCTCCTTTATACACCCTTCCTTGTAAAGTTTAAAAGCCAATCTGCCATGCAGCAGAAGAGACGCTTTTATTGAATTCTACCATCTTTAGAAATGCGAGTGGAGCTGGATCTAAAATGCTCTTCCCGTGTAAAACACAAAACATCCTGCACACAGGGAGCTTTAAGGCGAAAGATTATGGTCTACTTCAGTTTTCTACGTGCAGCGAAGTAATCAAACACAAGTGCCTCCTAACCTGCATTCTGATGTGGAACTGTTTTGAAATGCGATTTTATTTGCGTGTATGGCATTTCAACAGTCAAATTCAATTATATTTTGTTTAAAAAATATATAAAATGGGCTTTTACTGTACTGGGCTGTGATTCTGTTTCATGTTTTTTGCGGGGAGTCAGTTCTATTGAATTAGGCGGTACTTATTTACTTCTACAGGACGCGGGTGGCGCTGTGGGTTAAACCACAGAGCCTAGGACTTGCCGACCAGAAGGTCGGTGGTTTGAATCCCCGTGATGGGGTGAGCTCCCGTTGCTCAGTCCCTGCTCCTGCAAACCTAGCAGTTCGAAAGCACGTCAAAGTGCAAGTAGATAAATAGGTACCGCTCCGGCGGGAAGGTAAACGGCGTTTCCGTGCGCTGCTGTGGTTCGCCAGAAGCGGCTTAGTCATGCTGGCCACATGACCCGGAAGCTGTATGCCGGCTCCCTCAGCCAATAAAGCGAGATGAGCGCCGCAACAACTGGACCTAATGGCCGGGGTCCCTTTACCTTTACCTATTTATTTCTACAAGGCAGGTGCAGGGTCTCTGGCCTTCCAGTTGTTGTTTGGACTACAAATCCCATCAGCCATTGGCAATCCTTGCTGAGGTTGATGGGAGTTGTAGTCCAGCAACATCTGGAGGGCCAAAGGTTTCTCCACACCTACTATGAGATCACCAGGAGGAGCTCTGCCAAATCCAATCCAAGTTCCTTCTAGTCCAGTAACTTGTTTTCCCAAAGCGGCCAATCAGATGCCTCTTGAGATGATACCAGGCAGGCTAGAGAGGCACTGCCCTTCCTGACTGCTGCTCTTCCGCATCTCAGAGGTACACTGCTGCCGAAGATGGAGGTTCCATATATCCTTCATGCTAATGGGCCATTGATAGCCTCGTCCTTCATGGGATTGCCTGGTCCCCTTTTAAAAGTTAGCAGCCATCACCGCCTCCTGCAGTGCTGTGAAAGACCATGCATGAAGCAGGGACAAAATAAACTTCCATTTGTTTAGCTAGTTAGCTAAAACTTTTGCTTACCTGGAGGAGAGAATTATCAGGTGAATATGCAATTTAACATTTAAAGCACGTGCCATGCCACGTCAATCAGCCATGGCTTCTCGAAAGAATTATGCAAACTGTAGTTTGTTAAGGGTGCCTGGGAAGCTAGGAAGACAAGTAAATATCTGAGAGGTGGTTTAGTGAGTGAGCGCAGGTAGCAGAAGTTATAGGTCTGGATAGGCACCCCATTATTGTAATTGACCGATACCATTTATGAAACCACACGCTTGTTAAACTGCAATAAATAAACAGAAGTTTATGTTCCAATTTAACCCTGACTGGACTCAGTATTGTACCAGGTAGGGCCAGGGTGGTGGCAGCGAGAAATAAAGTGGTGGCACAGGGATCAATAGACGGTGAAACGTCTTGGGACCCTGTGTGATCGCCACAGCGCACTCCATTGTCTCTCTAGACAGGCAGATGCCAACCATTTTAAATACCTATCGGGCAGTATGTGAGCAGTTGCGATGCCTGCATTTTGCACCAGCTGATCGGCAAACAACATTTGGAGGGCCACAGGTTTCCACCATTGTTTTGAGGAGCTCGTGGTTTTTCCTCCTTGCGGAAAACCAAACCCAAGCAGATTCTTACGGGTGCTCGTTTTGTGGAATGGGTGGGAACCATTTCTGTGCCTTCCATGAGCTCAGCAACATTGATCCTCGCCGAAGACACCAAGCCAAGAGGCTTGAAATAGCATTGGCCTTTGTTACAGGACAGATCCTGTTTATATCCCTCCATTGTGAAAGCTGACGGTTGGTCCCTCTGCCTCTGCTTCCTGTATTTTAACCGTGGTTCCCCAGTTCAGGTCAGGACACCTACTCCCCCCCCATTAACTGAATGGGTTTCCTGATGGCTTTCAACACACAGGCCAGCTTTTCGTCAATAATGGGTTGCTGTTTAACAGCAGCTGTCCCTAGCAAAGCACCCCCTGGACATGGAGAAACTTATGTCTCTCCCGATGTTGGTGGACTCCCATCACCCATGGGCCATTTTCCGTATGTTTAGCCGGAAACTTCAGGCAGCCCTGTGCCCAGCCTTTTCCCTTACAAGCAGTCCAGAAAGCGGCTCTGGCCATCACCTTCCTCCACCTCAGCTTTTGTGTTGCCCTTGCAGAACGCAGCAGGGAAGAGGATGGGGACTCTATGTCATTGGCTCTCTGGCGCCACCTACTGTTGGGCTCCTTGCCTTCTGCCCTACCAGCCCCGATGGGCACCAGCCACCACTGACCAGGAACTGGAGACCCAACACCCAGAGATGTCCCACTGGAGGAGGGCTGAGGAATGGGAGAGACCTGACACACCACCTCTAGATGCACATGCCCCCACCCCCGTGATGTCACGGACTGGCTGGATGCAGAAGAGTGGTGGCAGGCAGCAACTGGGGAACCCCCAGGGGAAGAAGGCTCAGAGCCTGGGGATGTGTGGTGGGACAACAATAAGTGGTTAGAGCAGGCATCCCCAAACTCGGCCCTCCAGATGTTTTGGGACTACAATTTCCACCATCCCTGACCACTGGTCCTGTTAGCTAGGGATGATGGGAGTTGTAGTCCCAAAACATCTGGCGGGCCGAGTTTGGGGATGCCTGGGTTAGAGGGAGAAGACGGGAGGAGGAGGTGTCAGAAGCTGGAGAGGTAACAGGGTTTAGTGAGCAGGAAGAGGCTGTGGCAGAGGGCAGTTCAGAACCAGCGGCAGAAGAGGAGCCTGGAGAGGTGGGGGGCCCAAAGGCAGAGATTGAGTTAGCTGGCGAAGCATCATGTGTGTCTCCTCCTCCCCTCTCCACTGGTCTCCCAGGACCAGGAGAGGAATGAAGAAGGTGGAGTGGCGACAGACAAGGCCTTGGAGTCTCAGATTGCTCTGGAAGGATCTGAGGGAGAAGACTGTAGGAAGGCCTTCAGTCCTGCCTCATAGGGGCAAGGCCTACTGGGAAGACTGGCTTTGCCTGGAAAGCTGTTGTTATGGAAGTTGCTGCGCTCACTAGGCCTGAGACATTTTGTTTCTTTGAATAAAGAATTAATTTCACTGATGCCTTGTGAGTTACTGCTGGCCTGTGCCCGACATCCACCCCGACACCTACTCTTGAGCCTCCATGATTATCCCCAAGACCCCAAGAGCAGAGACGGGACGGGTCTAAGCCAAAATATGAGCCAGAAAGCACAAAGCACGCTTGGCAGGAAGGAGACAGGCGCCAGAGTTGCCTCTCTAAATCCTTTCATTTGCCTGTTGTTGGGGCAACATCTCATTTCGAACAGCTACTAGATTTGCACTCTAGTTCTGGACGTCTGGGGAAATGGGGAATCTAAGCTGGACAGTAGTGGTGGAGACTGGAACAAGAAGAAGACATCTAATCTCAACCACAGAACTTGCAAGAAATGCATTATTATTATTTATACAGGACCAGGGAGAGGAAAAACACAGAGGGAAACAAGTTTATCTCACACAAAGTGCAAGCAGATTGAAACAGGTACAAAAATTTAAAAAACTGACCATCTAGTTTCTAGTTCTCTGTCACAGCAGAGGCCATGATTAGCCTCCACAGTTGGAGGCAGTATACTAGGTGCTGGGAACTGCAGTTTGGAGAGGGTACCATTTGTGCTCAGGGTCTGCTTGGTGGCTTCAAACTGGGGCATCTGGTTGGCCACTGTGAGATAATAATAATAATAATAATAATAATAATAATAATAATTTGGCTCCCAACAAAATATTAAAAAATACAGCACTAAACATTAAAAGCTTCCCTAAACAGGGCTGCCTTCAGATGTCTTTTAAAAGTAAGATAGTTGCTTATTTCCTTGACATCTGATGGGAGGGCGTTCTACAGGGCAGGTGCCACTACTGAGAAGGCCCTCTGCCTGGTTCCCTGTAACTTTGCTTCTTGCAGGGAGGGAACTGCCAGAAGGCCCTTGGAGCTGTACCTCAGTGTCCAGGCAGAACGATGGGGGTGGAGACACTCCTTCAGGTATACAGGACCGAGGCCGTTTAGGGCTTTAAAGGTCAGCACCAACACTTTGAATTGTGCTCGGAAACGTACTGGGAGCCAATGCAGGTCTCTCAGGACTGGTGTTATATGTTCTCGGCAGCCACTCTGAGTCACCAGTCTAGCTGAACCTGATCCAGAAGGGCTCCTTCTTATGTTCTTATCAGTTGTTTGAGCACTGCATTTATTTTTTGTTTTGGTTTATTAATGAAAATTCAGCACATTCACACTTCCAACTCTATAGCTCTACTTTGCTTATACTACTAGGATGGGATTGCAGTCTCTGCAGGGGAAAAACTCCCAGAGGGATCTAGGAAAACGTTACATGCACATGAAATTGTTCTGCTGCACGACCGTATCATAGAAGTGGAGGGTACCCAAAGGGTCATCCAATCTACCACCTGCAATGCAGGAATCTTCCACCTCTCATTTGTGTGAGCAATTTCCTTCTCTCGTAAGACGTCATCTAATGTGTCATTCTCTTGTGCGCTGATTGATGCTTTTATTTTTTCATAAAAGTCAAAAAGCCGTCGTTACGTGTTCTGTCTGGCGTGAATTTTCCAGTGCCGAATGAGATTTGGACTCTGAGTGAAGCTCTTCCCACATTCCGAGCACTTGTAGGGCTTCTCTCCAGTGTGGAGCCTCTGGTGCCTGATAAGATGTGAGCTCTGGTTAAAGCTTTTCCCACACTCAATGCACTTATACGGTTTTTCCCCCGTGTGGATTCTCTGGTGTGTGAAAAGGTTTGTGCTCTGATTGAAGCTCTTCTCACAAATGAAGCACTTATAGAGCTTCTCTCCTGTGTGGATTCTCTGGTGCCTGATAAGACTTGATTTGTCGCAAAAGCTTTCGCTGCAGTCCGAGCATTTATAAGGTTTCTCCCCTCTGTGGTATCTCTGATGTGTAAGGAGGCTCCAGTTGCGACTGAAGCTCTTTTCACACACTGAGCATTTATATGTTTTTTCTCCCGAGTGGATGCCTTGATGTGTCATGAGACCGGATTTGTCTGAAAAGCTATTGCTACAGAATTTGTATGGTTTCTCCTCTAAGTGAATTCTCTGATGCTTAAAAAGGTTGGAGCTCTTACTGAAGCTTTCCCCACAGTCAAAACATTTATAAGGATCTTCTTCTGCATATATTTCTGGATGTCCAAGAAGACTCATGTCATCAGAGATGCTCTTGCTAAAGATTACGGAACTACACAGATCCTTCTCTCCTTTGTGAATTTTCTCATGTGAATTGTGCTTAGACTGAACAGAGAAGCCCTTGCTGCCTTTGGAGTGATTACGGGGTTTCTGTGTCGTGTGGATTTTCTGGTGAGCAATAAGGTTTGAGCTGCGGCTGAAGCTTTTCCCACAGTTCAAGCATTTATAGGGTCTCTCTCCTGTGTGGATTCTCTGATGGGCGTTAAGACTCGATTTTTCGCAAAAGCTCTTGCTGCAGTCTGAACAGCTATATAGCTTCTCCCCTGTGTGCAGCCTCTGATGTGAAGTGAGTCGTGTCCTTCGGTTGAAGCTCTTTCCACAAAGTGTGCATTTATAGGGCCTCTCGCCTGTGTGGATTCTCTGATGAGTAACAAGGCTCGATTTGTGACTGAAGATCTGCCCACACACAGCGCACTCATTCCTCCTCCTTACTTTGCACGGTTCCTTTTGGAACGAGCTTTCGTGGAACTCCACATCCTGCAAATAAAGGAATCTGTCCTTCACTGCCGGCTTTCCAACCTGAATCTCTGGTCCATCTTCACTCACAAATATCTCCTTCACATCTCGAGTCTCAGTTCCCTCCGCAGCAGCCTCATAAAGTTCATTCTCGTTCTCCCTCTTCCAGCCTGAAATAAACAGAGATGCTTGTTTATTTCCTGCTTCTAAGTTGTGAACAAATAAATGGCCTCGGTCCTGTATACCTGAAGGAGCATCTCCACCCCCATTGTTCAGCCCGGACACTGAGATCCAGCTCCGAGGGCCTTTTGGCGGTTCCCTCCCTGCCAGAAGTGAGGTTACAGGGAACCAGGCAGAGAGCCTTCTCGGTAGTGGCTCCCGGCCTGTGGAATGCCCTCCCATCAGATGTCAAGGATATAAGCAGCTATCTTATCTTTAAAAGACATCTGAAGGCAGCCCTGTTTAGGGAAGTTTTTAATATTTAATGCTGTATTGTTTTTAACACTCGATTGTAAGCCGTCCAGAGTGGCTGGGGAAACTCAGCCAGATGGCGGGGTATAAATAATAAATGATGATGATGATGATGATGCTAAAAGAGAGAAACAAAAGATGAGTCTTTTGCCCACCTTTAAAACTCTCCCCTTCCTCAGTACACTGCTCAATGAGCTCTTCCTCTTCCAACCGGCAGATGAGGTCAGGCTTGGGAGTCAGCAGAGCTTCTAGGAGATCAAAACATAAAACTCAAACACCTGGTTATGCAGGGGCTGCAAGAGAGCTTCCAAGCTCTTTCCATCCACATAGGAAGGACTGTTGCTCGGTGCTACAGCATTTACTTTTGTATGTAGAGAGTCACAGATTCAATTCTCCAGGTACGTCTGGGAGAGATTCACCGGCCCGAAACCCTGGACAGGGACTGCTAGTCAGGCCACATTCACACCTCACATTTAAAAGCACTATCATGCCACTTTAAATGATCATGGCTTCCCCCAAGGAATTCTGGGAGATGGTGTTTGATAAGGCTGCTGGGAGTGGTTAGGAGCCCCCCTATTCCCATCATAGAGTGAGAATTATAGAGTGGTTTATCTGATTTGGCATGGGCTGGCTGGGGCGGGGGGGGGGCGCTGAGAGAAGTTGGAATCCAACAACACCCCCTGCCTCATCTGCGGCCAAAGGTGTCCTTACCTAGAGAGACCACCATCCCATAATTCTGCAACATGACCTCCCGGTACAATGCTCTCTGGCCTGGAACCAGCATGGCCCACTCCTCCTCTGTGAAACTCACAGCCACCTCCTCGAAAACCACAGCCTCCTGAAACACATACAAAACTATTTTCTTTTTCTTTATTTTCTTTATGCTTTTCGGGTTTATACATTTCAATCATTCTACAATCATTTTAACATTTCAAAACTCGTCTTCCTTCCCCCCTCTTTCTGCGGTCCCTTAAGTTTATTTTCAATATCTTCTGCCATATCCAAATGAACTTAATTTGCTCATTTATTTATCTACTTTAAATGTATGCTCTTATAAAACTGCAGGTTATTACAATAATCCTGCCAATGTTCTTATCTGTTTACAATTTATCTGTAAATATTCAATAAACCACTTCCATTCTTTTACAAAAAGTTTGTTATCTTGATTTCTTATTCTTCTGGTTAAGTTTTGCCAATTCTGCTTATTCCGCAAGTTTTTGTATTCACTCTTCCTTTACTGGGACTTCTGCTTCTTTCCATTTGGGGGCGAGTAACATTCTTGCTGCTGTAGTGGGATACATGAATAAGTTTCTATACAGTTTGGGTAGTTCTGTCCTGATATTACACAACTATTTTCTAGCCCAGTGTTTCCCAAACGTTTTTGGGCAACGGCACACCTGTTTACTGAAAAAAAATCTCGCGGCACACCACCATTAAAGCCCCGCCCCGTGACGTCAGCGCGCAGCGTCACGCCGGGAGGGACGCACAAAAGTGAAAGTTTTTTCCCTCCCCCTTGCTGGGGAACCTCCAAGCTTTGGGGGTGGGAGGAGGCAGCAGAGCGAGGGACTGAGGGACGGCGGCAACTGAGGCGGCGGCGGCTGAGGCAGAGCTGGGAAGGGGGTTTCCAGGGGACACGGCAGCTCCTCGAAAGGCTTCTCTCAGCTGCGCTCAATCCGCCTCGGAGAGGATTTCCCCTCCGGTCCCATGCGTTCGTTTGGGGCATCGCTCCGGCTGCTCCCTCTCCCGCCGCGCAGGAGCGATGCCTCTCTCTGGCTCTCCCTCCGCGCAGGCTGAGGGAGGGAGGGAGGGGCGCGTGTGACCCGTCTCTGCTGGGAGACCAAACCCAGCGAGGCAGAGTCGCGCGGAGGCGCCCAGGCAGCGCTGCCGGCTGCGAGGAGGAGCGCCAGGCAGCAGCAGGAGGCGCGGCCTCTCCTCGCCGCCGCCGCCCCGCCTCTCGCCGCCCGACTCGCCCGCCTCCCTCCAGGCATCTCGCGGCACACGAGGCAACGTCTCACGGCACACTCGTGTGCCGCGGAACACCGGTTGGGAAACACTGTTCTAGCCAATCATCCCAGATAACGGGGTGACGATTGCTCTCCTTCCATCACACGCCCAAAGGACACAATAGGAACAGGTGGTTGTTTTCAGGGTGGAGAATCTGCAGGTGATATTCATCAGGCAATGGTGTTTCCACCTCCCTTGCCCCACCTAGCCTTTCCCAAGTTATGACTTTGAGAATAGCAGCAGCAATAGCTGGCGACAGAGGAGTTCAGGGATATTTTTTTAAAAATAGTTTTATAAGTTGTGCTTCTTTGTTTCTCAGCTTAATCCTTTTACAGCGGTACCTCGGGTTAAGAACTTAATTCGTTCCAGAGGTCCATTCTTAACCTGAAACTGTTCTTAACCTGAAGCACCACTTTAGCTAATGGGGCCTCCTGCTGCTGCCGTGCCGCCAGAGCACGATTTCTGTTCTCATCCTGAAGCAAAGTTCTTAACCTGAGGTACTATTTCTGGGTTAGCGGAGTCTGTAACCTGAAGCGTATGTAACCCGAAGCGTATGTCACCCGAGGTACCACTGTATTAGATTCTGATGGATTGTTGAATGTTGCTTTGTTTGCTATAAGTTGTTTATTTTAAAGTTACTGTGATTTTTATATTGGATCAGACTGCAACTATTAATATTTGATGTTTTATTGTGTGTTTATGTCTTGGAAGCCACTATTATTATTATTATTATTATTATTATTATTATTATCATTATTATCATTATCATCAGTCACCCAGGCAGCAAAGTCAACTGTCAGGCATGATGGGTGTTGCACTGCAGCGACACCTAGAGGGCAACAGGTTCCCCATCCCTATTCTGCAAGATTCAAAGGTTCATACCATCAAAATGGGCTGAACTCACAGCTTTGAGGGCTTTGAACATGAGCGGGGAACCTCCGGGAGGCCAAATGCACCCCTCTCCCAGCCCCTCTACTGTACAAAGGTAAGAACTGCATTTGCTGCTCCGCCTACTTTTGTCTCTGGCCCCGCCCACTGCTGGCCTGTGGCCCCTGATAGGCTGCCCAGAACAGAATGCGGCCCTCAGGCTTAAAATTGCACACACACACACAAAATCCTTGATATTGAGGACTGAAAAGAGAAGGAGGGGAATTGAGAGAGGTTCTTTTGTGGAATTGTGATGACAGTATGTAATTATATTCTTTAGGGAATTGTGAGAATCCTTATTGGAGGTGCTAACGATGGTACTTTGTGAGCGACGACAAGTTATTGTGCCACCCTTCCTCCCAAAGAAGCCCAGGGATATATAAGAAAGTGGCACCCCAGTTGTCTGAAATAGGTCTCCCCAACAGGCTTTCTCCTACCTGAGCTGGCTGGATGGTGGCTTTCCCCCCTCCAGTAGAAAAAGGAGAAGATTCAGAATGTGCCTCAGGTGCCATTTCACTGTCTGTTAATGAAACGGAGGTAGAATCAGAAGCAGAGGGCCAAACAAAGATTTAAAATCAGCCTCCTAGCCAATCAGGGTTTATGTTTTAATCAGCCTCCTAGCCAATCAGGGTCTAGTTTTTCATCTGCCTCCTAGTCAATCAATCAAGGTTTATTTTTTAATCAGCTTCCAAGCCTGAAGATGCAAAGCAAAACAAAAGAGCACATTATAAAGTGTCACACCCTGGTGGATCACGTTAAGCTTGTGATCCACTAAGACACCTAAATCCTTATTGCGCTTAGTATTGCCAAACGAAATCTCACCACCTCCCCCAACACTAAATGCAGGATTTTACCTTTATCTCTGTGGAATTTCATTGTGCTGGTTTTGGCCCCACGTCCCGGCCTGTCAAAGTCGTCCGACGGAACCTTCTTTGCACCAGATAAAGGGCCGGCCACCTCCATCAACGGCTCCTGGACCTAAAACAGGAGAGAGTATTAAGGGCATCGGAATATGTTCTTAACGGACGGCCATCTGTCATGGATGCTTTAGCTGAGACTCCTGCAGAGCATGGGGTTGGACTAGATAACCCCTGGGGTTCCTTTCAACTCTACAATTCTGTGATTCCCCCTTTTCTACTCCTTTCTCAACTCCATTCATTCATTTAAATTTTATTTAGTTTTTCAGATTTTGAAATTTACAAACGATTATCAAACACGCAACATAAAAAGAAGATTCCGAAGAATCTCCTGGACTCCCAACCTCCCCTCTGTGGGTCCTTGTCTTGCTCCTGCATATTGTCTATTAATCCATCATTTATTTATTTTAGGTGGGTGACCAGCAGAACAAAGCTTCTGAGAAAGGCTGTAAAACAACTTCCTTGTAAAACAACAATTTCTTCATGCCCACAGCATGAACCACCAAAATGTAACCCGCTCACCGTTTGCCTTCTGTCCTCCTGCTGCTTCAGTAGAAAACCTTCCGCCAGGGCTACGGCCTGGGCACAGCTCCCTGGGCGGCCTTCCCTGACCCAGCTCTGCATCTCCGGGGGCAGGACGGCCAGGAACTGCTCCAGGACCACCAGCTCCAACATCTCTTCCTTGGTGAGTCTCTTGGGCCTCAGCCACCGGCAGCAAAGGTCCAGGAGCCGGCTGCAAACCTCGTGGGGACCAATGGCCTCTTGGTACCTGAACTGCCTGAACTCAGCACCGGAATTTGGAGCATCCTGGTTCAAGATCTCCGGAGCTGTTTTTCTGCAGGTTTCCATGCCACACCCAGCCCGAGCGCTTTCAGTCCTCCTTCTCTCTGCTTTGAGGGCAGTTGACTCTCGAAGAGCCTCCTCGGACTCCAGTCCCGCAGCCAAAAGATCACCTCGCTTTACGGCAGCCATGTTCTCTCTCTCTCTCAGGACTGGCAACGGGGCTTAGTCCCACGGTTCAACAGCATTTCCTCTAGCCAAGCAATATATCTGGTTACCAAGAGGAGATTCTTCTCCCTATGGAAAGCTGAATACAGTGGTACCTCGGGTTCAGAACTTAATTCGTCCTGGAGGTCCGTTCTTAACCTGAGGTACCACTTTAGCTAATGGGGCCTCCCACTGCTGCCGTGCTGCCACCGTGCGATTTCTGTTCTCATCCTGAAGCAAAGTTCTTAACCCGAGGTGCTAAATCTGGGTTAGCGGAGTCTGTAACCTGAAGCGTCTGTAACCTGAGGTACCACTGTAATAATAAAACAAAAGGTAAAGGAACCCTGGATGGTTAAGTCCAGTCAAAGGCGACTTATGGGGTTGCACTACTTATCTCTCTTTCGGGCCAAGGGTGCCGGCGTTTGTCCACAGACAGCTTTCCAGGTCATGTGGCCGGCATGACTAAACCACTTCTGGCACAATGGGACACCATGACGGAAACCAGAGCACACGGAAACAATGTTTACCTTCCTGCCGCAGTGGTACCTATTTATCTACTTGCACTTGTGTGCTTTCGAACTGCTAGGTTGGCAGGAGCTGGGACACAGAAACGGGAGCTCAGTCCATTGTGGGGATTTGAACCGCCGACCTTCTGATCAGCAAGCCCAAGAGGCTCTGTGATTTAGACCACAGCAACACCCGCATCCCGGAAGCTTTATACTGTTCTGAGTCTCAGCTCACCCTAAGAAATTGGAGGCATGGGGATGGTGTGGGGACAGAGGAGCTGAGCTCTGCTCTCCTAAAAATGACTAAGGACCCAAACCTCCTTGTAGGTTGAGAGATGCAAGATACAGCACCTGTGTCTCTGCTTAGTCTTCTGTAAAATTGGGGAAAGGCCATACCTAACTGGCAGAGTATGTGCTTTGCATCTGGAAGATTCCAGATTCAATCCCTGGCTTCTCCAGGTGGGGCTGAGAAGAAGAGACTCCCATTTCAAACGCTGGAGAGCAACTGCCAGCCAGTGTCAACAATTCCAAGCTACTTAGATCAACGGTTGGACTCAGGACCAGGCGGTTTACTCCTTAAGCCGAGATGTGTTGTAGAAGTTATCATTCATTGTATTTAGATCACATCATTCCTCCAAACATCTGTTTTTCATACTGTCAGGAGCAAGCTGGCAATAAAGCACAGCATTCAATTTGGAGTTAACACTTTACAGTCAAACTTCGGTTGTTGAACGTAATCCGTTCTGGAAGCCCGTTTGGCTTCCAAAATGTTAGACAACCAAGGTGTGGTTTCTGACTGGTTGCAAGAGCGTCCTGCACTCAAGTGGAAGATGTGTTGTACAGTCGGCTTCTAAAAAACGTTCAAAAACCACAGCGTTTACTTCCGGGTTTTTGGTGTTCGAGAGGCAAAACGTTCCAAAACGGAGCCGTTCAGGAACTGAGGTTTCACTTGTACAGTGGTACCTCGGGTTAAGTACTTAATTCGTTCTGGAGGTCCGTACTTAACCTGAAACTGTTCTTAACCTGAATCACCACTTTAGCTAATGGGGCCTCCTGCTGCTGCTGTGCCGCCGGAGCACGATTTCTGTTCTCATCCTGAAGCAAAGTTCTTAACCTGAAGCACTATTTCTGGGTTAGCGGAGTCTGTAACCTGAAGTGTATGTAACCTGAAGCGTTTGTAACCCGAGGTACCACTGTATTAGAAAGAGCATGATCTGCACAGACTGGGCCAAATATCAGGCTTAAAGAGCCCAGCAGCTCATCCCTGTTAGGCCTTGCCCCTGCCTCCCTACAGCTGTCTAAGTCCCCTCCTGTCCAGGGGTTTTTTCCAAGCATATGGAGACTTTGCCTGCATGAAGCCAACCTCTCCTCCACCCTTTTCATGCCTCTTCTGGTTCTGGGAGGCAAGGGGGGAGGGGAGCTTGTAACACCAGAAGGAGAAAACCCATGATTCTTCACCAGCCTGACCCATCTCTGCCTCTTGGCCTTCCTCATCCCACTCTCCTGCTTCTGCTTCTGCCTCTGATTCTGGGCTTCTCTCTGCCACAGATTCTCCCTGCTCACTAAACCTTGTTACCTCTTTAGCTTCTGACACCTTCTCCTCCCTGTCTTCTTCCTCTGACCACCCTTCCTCTGCATCCAACCAGTCCGTGACACATACATATAGGGTAGGAGCCAGACTTGAGTTTCAGTCAGTTCCCATTGAAACCAACTGGACTAAAGCCATTACTAACTTTTCACAATGATTTTAAGCAGCCTAAACACAACTGACTCAAGTCTAGATACAACTCAAAGTTCCTCTGCCTTTTTAAAATTATCACTATGTCCTTGAAAAGAGATAGTGACTGGCTTACAGTCACGCAGTAACACTTGCAGGTGAGGGGATTTGAAATAGGATCGTACCTGTCCCACTCCAACCACTACACCACGCTGCCTCTCAGTTTAATATAAAGATTTCTGTGAAACTCAAAAGTTTGCTCGCTAATGGGTGATTTAAACATCCTTTAATTGCATGGTGTATACACAGTCTTAAGTCCCAATGAATAAATGGGATTTTATTCCCAGGTACTGTAAATGCAAGCAGGACTGTTCTCTGCTCGCAATAAAGGTGCCTTTATTACTACCATTACTTTTAGATATTTTTTCCACCCTCTGCAATTTCTTTAAATAAATATATATTTGTGACAATCATTCCTATAAATATGAAATCTGGTCTGCAATATTTTTTTTTCTGCTACGACAGCTCTCCATTGCACCCTTTTCACCCCAAATGCATTTTGCACTCACCTCTTTCCAGGAGAAATTCCAAAGCCCATCCACCCCACCCCCTTTTTTATTTTTTGCAAAGGTAGAGCGAAGGGGATAGGCAAGGTTGGCCGGAAGTGCCTCCACCAACGAATCAACCTCGCCTCCTGAAGGGACCCTCTAGGAATGCAGCACTCGGTCAGATTAACCCTTAACCTGTAATGGGGGGAACCCACCACCTTGGAAAAGTGGCATAATATATATTTTTTTCCTTTTAAGTTTACAAAAAAAAATTTAAAAAATGGAAAAGGCTATTAAGAACTCAGAGAGCGGAAGTTTGGGGTTTGCAGTCAAGTGTGGAAAAAAGGTTGTTGAAACCATATTGAATAACAGTGCCATCCTGCTGGGTGATTCAATCGGGCCAGACAAAATGACATGCAGTTTGGCAAAGAGCCCATCGCGAAATTATACCGTGGAAGATATGGAAGCTGGCATACTAAGAGCAGCCGGTCCGTTTAGCTCAGTAATGTGAGATGCCCAGGATTTCATAGGAGAGGACTCTCCCAGCTGTGCCTGGGGATGTCAGGATTTGAACCCAGGACCTTCCGCAGGCTAAGGCAAATGTTCAACCACTACTTACACAAGGGGGCATAGGAAACTGGCTTCTTCTGAATCAGACCATAGGTCCTTATAGCTCAGTATTGTTTGCACTGACTTGCAGCAGCTGTCCAGGATTTCAGGCAGGTCTTTCTCCAAGCCCTGCCTGGAGAAGCTACAGGATTGAACCTTCGGCACCCCAAACAGATGTTCTTCGTGACCCCCTGGACCAGAGCACGCCAGGCACTCCTGTCTTCCACTGCCTCCCGCAGTTTGTTCAGACTCATGTTTGTAGCTTCGAGAACACTGTCCAACCATCTCGTCCTCTGTCGTCCCCTTCTCTTTCCCAACATCAGGGTCTTCTCCAGGGAGTCTTCTCTTCTCATGAGGTGGCCAAAGTATTGGAGCCTCAGCTTCAGGATCTGTCCTTCCAGTGAGCACTCAGGTCTGATTTCCTTCAGAATAGATAGGTTTGATCTTCTTGCACTCCATGGGATTCTCAAGAGTCTCCTCCAGCACCATAATTCAAAAGCATCAATTCTTCGGCAATCAGCCTTCTTTATGGTCCAGCTCTCAATTCCATACATCACTACTGGGAAAACCATGGCTTTAACTATACGGACCTTTGTTGGCAAGGTGATGTCTCTGCTTTTTAAGATGCTGTCTAGGTTTGTCATTGCTTTCCTCCCAAGAAACCCCTTTCTCTAGCCATCATTTAATTTCACTATTTAATCTCAGAAACAGACCCCATTGTTACGTAGGGAACACTCAGAGATGGCTAGCCACAATATTTAGCTGATTATTTTATTATGCCTACTTGTTTTTAAAGTCTTTATTGTAGCTGTGCATTCTCGCGTCTGTTATACGATTTCATATAGTCCACTTAGAGGTGCTTTTTTAAAAAGGTAGTATATAAGTAAAATTAAAATCAAGCTAGCTGCTGATTAGACAAATTAACAGGATGGCAGAGTTGGAAGGGGGCCAGAGGGTCATCTAGCCCAACCTCTGCAATGCAGGAATATTTTGCCCAACTGACATGCTGGAAATATTTTATTTTCCTCTTCCAGGCCTGCCTGAACCTCAGGTAGCCAAGGGTGTGCAATACAGGTAGGTAGCTGTGTCTCCTACTTAAAAAAAGACTGAAATTCGGAATACAGAGTACCAGTTCTGGTCACCAATCCTCAAAAAGGATATTGCAGAGTTGGAAAAGGTTCAAAAAAGGGCAGCCCAACTGATTGATTGTTTCATTTCTATACCACTTAATCTATTAAAAATATCTCTAAGCAGCGTACAGAAAACCGAAGCAACAACAGACAATGATCAAGGAGGTGGGGCAACTCCCATATGAAGAAATATTGAAGCATTTGAGACTGTTTGGAGAAAAGACAAGGAAGAAGGCGGCATGACAGAAGTTTATAAAATTATGTGTGGCATGGACAGGGTAGAGAGAGGAAAAACATTTCTTTTTTCTGTTTTATTTTTCAAAGTAATAATCATAAATATGTAGGAATGTGCACCTTACCACCAAGACCATTCCATTGTAACCATCCAACCTCCCAAAATTTCAACACCTCTTGTGATGGTTTGACCCCTTTCTGTTTTAACAGTACAAATTCTACAAACACCCTCCGTATCGCCTCAAAATAATTTCTCCTGCATATTCCTCATCTTACCTTAGTGGCACATGTAAATTTATCATTAATAGCTATATCCCACACCTCTTTATACCATTCTTCCATTGTATATTCTGCGTGCCCCTTCCACTTCCTAGCTATCATAATTCACAATTCAGCTGTCAATAAATTTGTGAGCAAGCCCTTCATGGTCTGCGAACCTTCCATCCCAT